AGTGGTTTCATGGAAAACCCATTAGTTGGCGAAAAATTAAAAGTCCCAACATCCAAGCACAATGCACCACCAAAGAATAGGCGGGACCAAAACGGGTCCATCAAAGTGCCACTCGCGAACTCACCCACCGAACACTTCCACGCCAGTGGGTGCATGCAGATTGTCCGAAACAAGTCGGAGGATCGAAATCCAATCCACCCTCCCCAACCTGAAAAGGGGCCCTTTAAGAGTAGTGATATATATTTTTCTATATCGACTTCTCGGTTCCCATCCACAGCATTCAGAGTGGCAAGAGTAGCTGTGCCGGAGGTGAAGACGCAGAAATCGTCTTGGCTGGGACTCTCCGGCTTCATGCCCTTTCTGCAGACACAGCCTCGGTCGACCCCCTGAAGGCCCAAAGGGGGGGGGAAATCGGCCAGCTGTAATCTAGCGAGAACTCGTCCGGCCCCCTGGAAAATTCAGCACTATGGGAAGAAGAACCCATCAATAAGGGAGCTTTTGGACACACCCGGTCAACCATTGGGGCTTTGATCCTGGGGGGCCAAGGGAAAAGGTGTTCATGCCATTGATGAGCGCTTCCGCACTTGAAGGAACCGAGCAAACAGGAGCTGTGGCACAAGGGAAGCGCAAGGAGGGATGGTGGAGGTTGGAGGTTCAAGTCCTCCCGCTCTGTATGATACTGTTCAGCATTACAAGATGCGCACCTGTGCATCCCAGGTGTTGCAGACGTGGCTCCCAGGACCTTCAAGCAAACGTGCAGTAAACCATGCAGCCACTGTCCAAGCAGCCCATCCCAGCTTTCTTCAGTCCGGTGCCATCTGTCACCACCTTCTTGGCTTCAAAGCCGTCCTGCGCGAGGGAAGAGAGGAAGATCACGCGCAAGACTTTCAAAGCCGCCAGCAATCCAGGAAGCATGTCTGAAGAAATCAGCTTTCAAGGTGTGCTACGAATGGGTGGAGTGCTCTGGGCGCGTAAAGTCCCGTTCCTCCAGCAGCGTTTCACGTCCAACCATATCCAATCTCATCCAGCAACCTAAACACGGAATCCCAAAAAAGAGAAAGTGCTTGCTCGCTCGTCCCGAAGACGCACTAGTTCTAGGCCTCGACAGAAGAACAAGTCGAATCGATCCGCTTGGGGGATGTTCAGGAATGGAAACAGGGGTCGCCCAAGTCATGTCTCTTTTGGGGAAAACAAATGGCATGAAATAAGACGAACCAAACTGAATCCAGTGCCATCTATGTTTAGCCTGACCGTCCAAAGGCACTCACTTGTGCCTCCGTTTTGGGAGTGCTACTTTTTCAGGCAGGGTACCTTTTGAGGTCGGTTAAAGGCTTCGAAGCCTACAGGAAAACAACTGCAAACTCTTGTGTTAGTTCAGGGGAAATCAACAAGACCACAAATTGTTGGGGTCCCACTTCTGCCTTTGTTTTTTTTGAGACAACCCCACTTGCCTTTGATTCCTCATGACTCGCGTCCTGCTGTTGGTCTTCCACCGTCACCAGCCCAAACACCGCCGCCTTTCCCCGATCGTTCTTCTCAGCTGGGAGCAGCCTAATTCGAGCGCAACCTCTCTAATGCTGCCCCCCTTGCTGGATTTCTTGGGCAAAAAAGGATTCAAAACCGTTCGGCCTATGATTCCCCCATCAAAAGCAAACCTTAGCCATGGGCTCTCCCATTCAGCCGCCTTTCAGCATCGCTGTTCTAGCTTCGTTTGTGTGAGAAGATTCTTTCTTTGCGTCGAAGGGCCCAGAGGAACCACCTACCTTTCGAACCTGGCTGATTACCCCCTTCCCCTCAATGATTAAAGGTTCCACGCCCCATTCAATTGAATAAAACATAACTTCTCTTAATTCGCCTTCAACCATCTTCTCACACAAACGAAGCTAGAACTTCCTCCATAAATCTTTCAGCCAAAACAAGCCCATATAATATATCCGAAAATCGGACCGAAACAACGACCAACAGATTTTCAGGCCTCATATCCCGGTAACGCATATAACGAACGTTATATCAATAACCTTTATCTCTAAATTATTTTGTCGCATGCCGTCGCAAGCGAAGGCTTGAAGAGGGCCTCTGGTCGCTTGTCACCATTCCACACGCAGCCGATCCTTTGTACCGTATGGTCTTGCTTTTTGATCAGAAAATCAAGGCATCCACTTCGTCCCTACGCTTGCGGCGAACCCATCTGAAGGATGCCGCAAACCTAGACAAATATCCCCCCTCAACCTTGTCCCAACCTCCTTCCCCGGCGAGAATGTTTCTACGAGGGATCCAGTTTAGGAATAATAACCAACACTCGACGACGCAGTACAACATTTGCACGTTGGCATAAGTTTAGGAAATTGTTGCAAGGAGGACCCCCCCACCCCCATCTGCAAGTATTTTGAATGAATGACACCATTACGTCACTGGGCTCCTGGACTGATAAAATTAGTTTGGGACAGGTTGGGGTTATCCCAAACCACCTCCAAAGGAAACAGTACCCTAACGCTGGTGTCAAAGTCATACGCCCCTCCCAGTGCAATTGTGGGTCACCAGCTATTTCCCATTGAGTTAGCTTCAAAAGGGTGGTGTCACGTGGTTACCTAAAAAACGTAAGAGGAAGCACTGCGCGTGATGCCCGGAGGCTGACTTGAGGTCAATGCGTCGACCCCTCCCACGCATTGCCGAGCTGCTGCAGCGTGGCGTTGGGATCCGGGCCTGGGGTTGAAATGGGTCCACTTTGAGCACCGAGACCTGGTGGTTGAAAAAGAAAGCCCAAAAGGAACCCACGCATCTCCGAGGTTCCCCACATTCCATGGCCCTGATGAAAGTGAGTTCCACACCCAAAAGCTGAGCGTCTCTGCCAAGGAAGGACCATGGATGCCCCAAGGTGTTGGGTTAGGCACCAGCCAAGGCAGCCTCCCATCCAACCAGCATGGAACACGAGCGGGGGTACCGGGTACCTGAAAGGTCCGGTTTGTCCTTCTTTTGTTCCCATGCAGCCGGAAGCGTATGCGTAGATCTGCAATCCTGTTAAAAGGAGTTGCTTCAAATCCTAAACTTGAGGACAGGGGGTTTCGACGGGTCCGCCAATTCTCTTTATCCCACATTCTCACATGTAAAATGGATGCACAACTGGAAAGCCAGGGTCGTCCGCACGCACGCACGAACGCACGACACGCACAAACACACCAATTTCATTTTGAAGGGATGTGACAACTGCTTGCAGCTGTCGAGTCACAGTCACATGTCATTGAAAGATTGCTGTCTACACGCTTCTCACAGCCTGCCCTGCACAAAAACAACATGGAACCAAAACAGGCGCGTTCCGCAAGAGGGTAGCTAGATCAACACTCAGCTGATTATTCATGATGGTTGGTCAATGCTGGGTCCCGTGGTAATCTGCAGGAGGTAGCTCTACAGCGCGTGTTTGCCCGTTTCGCCGAGCGGCTTTTTTTGGGTGCACCAAATAGGCAGCCCATGGCGTGCGCTGCCCAGGCAAAAGTCGACCAAATCAGGGGTCCTTGAGGAACTGCTATATCATTTATAAGCATTGATTCTCATTTTCATAGTGGCGTCATTAAGGGCGATAGTTGAAATAAACCGGCGATCACCAGACACAAGCAAAGGCTAGAATAAGATTGCCGGGTGACCGAAGATCAACTTGAAGTCATGATCATAGAATAATGTTGGCTCTTACTTAGCCTCTGATATGACTTTCCAAAGTCGCAGGGTTCATCGGGAAACCTCTTGGCTGACCCAAAGTTTGCTGCTTGTCCGGAGCCCGCTGGTTCCTCATATCTGAGCATTGGTTTCCTAAAGCGCGAAAACAGCTCTGAGTTTGATCATCAGCATTCACTCGCTTCAAAGGCTGAAGATTCAAGGGTGCATCCCTGGCTTTTTGAGTGGAATAAGGGATTTCATGGCTTGGTCAAATCTACATCGAACCACTTGAGAGCCCAACATGGCAATGCAGTCATGCATCTCAGGAACTATTGTTATCTGAAGCTTGGAACTTTGCCAATAGCCGCAACTTCTTAGCTTTCATGCTGCAGACTGAATCAAGGATGTGCAAGTTCGATGTGCCATGTCAGCAATTTCGAGCGGCTTGGACTTGACAAGCTGCAGACAATCCAAATAGGCAACACCACACGCCAAGCTTGCTCCCCCACAGATTTGTGCAGCACACAGGGGTGCAGCAATCCCATCGAACAAGTGAGCTCCATCTACACATATTTCACCCTGCAACAACATGCCACATCAAATAGACCCTTGCGCAGTGCTTAAATATTTCATCTTTCCAAGAACGAGCAGACCCTCTGTTTCACACGAAACACAACAAGGGAGGGAGCTGTGCCGGGGCGGGTCCTTATATGTATCTATTTGGCCATCATTCTTATTTGACATCAGATGGCTGTCGGGGTTCCATGTTTATGTGCAGCGTCGCCAGTAAAAAGCACCGAGGAGGGGACCCTCTTGCGTCAGCCAGATGACCAGAATGGCTATGGACACGGACTCAATGAACGAGTAAGAAATGGCAACCACCAGCCAGTTGAAAGGAAACCCATAGGAAGCCAAGCTTTTTGGGCAGAGAAACCCAGATCACGCCGGACAGCCGTTGATCTAGTGGACGAAGAACTGTGACCAGCACATGGGAATGTTGCGCGGCCCACGGATGTAGTGCAACCGTGCACTTATTACGCTTATTAGCACAAGTAGCTTAGTCAAAGGATCGTGGCTTGTTTGCGTGCGTGCGTGTGCTTGCGCGTGCGTGTGCAGGCGGGCGGGCGCAGGCGTGTTACATGCTTGGACCTTGGACAGGGTCCAATAATATGATTCAATTTAGACTATATATCTTGATGGAACAAACAAGGGCCCTCCAAGGGCCTCTTGAAGAACCCATTGCGGTTTTCACTTGGAAGTCGGGTCAGCTCGCGGGTTCCTTATCAGGAGAGACATGGGACGGGACCTTTGCAGAAAGGCGATTGAAACGATCGATGCTCAACCAGCGACGCCTTGGGGCGGCCTTCGGAGCGCGGCCTGCAAGCCATGGGTCTCAAGCCAGGGGCTGAAACTTGATATGGGTCACCTTGTTCTGGCCCGGCGGAGGGGGGGGGGGGGATTGGGTGTCCTTGAAAACCACAAAAAATCGCCCCCCCCACCAAAAACAATATGGCCCACATTTTTTTTTTTTTTTAACAAGGTACCAGTACCCTCAAATAAAAAGAACACACCCACACGTCTGAATCCCAGTTGCAACCAGTGGCCCTGGTAGAAACCAAAGATGCCAGAGGAAAGGTCATTTGTGTTTGGGGACCATTTCTAAGACATTTCTGGAACGTAGGGTCCCTCCCGATTGGCCTCTGCATCTCCCGAGGGTTGGGCCCAGTCCATTGTTGTCTTCCCAGGGTCCCCCCCTCTCCGATATTGCATGTTGTCACGGGGTGGGGATAGATCAGTTGGTCCCCGCTAATGATGTCACATTGAAGTGAAAGGGCTTCCTAGGGAGCACGGAAGCAGGTTGTCTTTGAAAACCAGCCAAGACAAAGTAAATACCAAGTTGCCGAATCCTGCCGGCTGTGAGACGCAATAATTAGCCACAAAAGCAACTCCAATGGGCAAAAGCCACGGGCTTCCTTCCGACAACGGAGCCCTGGAATCACGTAGGATCTCTGAGGAAAACTGCAAGGACCATTGCGAAGGAAACGAAGACATGCCAGATTTTGTCAGCTCAGTGTACCACTCCTTGCAGTAGTTGATCTCCTTTGGGGACATTGAGAACTGGCAGGCGGCAGCTCGTAAAACCGTCAAGCTACTGCATGCAACTTCCTCTGCGTTCCCTGCTGTGGAAAATGATATCGGAAAAGCGCATCATACCTCGAACATAATCCAGTGCTTTCTTCGAGGGCAAGCATCTGTTATCCAAGTCTCACTAACCACTAAGACAATGTTGATGCACACCCCGCCCCCCCCCGCCGGCTGTCAGCTTATTGCCTATATAGCTCTAAACTTTTGTTCAACAGGGGCACAAACAAGGCGGGGAGCCAACAGGCAATGCGGCAGCGGCTTGCTTCCAAATGAGCATCGGAAAAGCCGAGTATTTGTTCGCAGCCTTTGACTGTGAAGTCCGGAGGGTTCAAGTGCTGACTGACATGCGTGATGGTTGGAATAAGTGCACCACATTGGACCACCTTTCCCACGATACAGAAACAAATTGGATGTGCTGTCAGAAGGGTAAAACGGTTTCGAAGCAAGTCCTCCAAAGGTCAGAAAAAACAATTCACGGCCGCCCCATACTCGTTTTCATTGCCCTGGGTGGCATACGACGGAGGCGCCTCTTCCTTGGAGATCGGCGAAGCTGACCTTCATAGGAGCGTGGAACAAAAATGAAAGGCAAGGAACTAAACGGGGAGGATGAATCAGACCCGACCGATTTCTTTGAGATGGGTAACTTGTCCGAACCTCACCGTGCAGGAGGCAAAATTGCCTAAGGGGAAGCGAAAGTGAAAATGACTCACGGCCGCACTTGAACCACCAGGACTGTTTTGTGGGCCATTGGTGTTGGCTGGGTATCCTGATGATTCCCGTTCCACGTAGGACGGAAAAGGGTGATCCCCTGCACCCATTCCGACACGCCCGGACCGAGGCTGCTTTGACCTTGTGCGGCTTGTTCCCCCACCCAGCCAGAATCGGACACGTCAAGGAACCGTCCTCTCGGACGGTATGCATGCATTCTCACTGCAATCTGCTCAGTGGGATGCCAACACCATATTGGCACATACTTTAATAAGCAAACTTGATGGCTACTTACAATATACACATATGTCCAGTAGTGATAGATGCCCTTTAAAAAGTCAAACATATCCTGAAGCAAATGGATGAATGTTGTGGCAAGCCAAAGCAAGTGCCCTGCATGCCTGGCATCTCTCGTTTAACTCTCGAGCTCCCACCTGAGCGACTCCTGCTTCGAGGCCTCAGTCGAGCTGGGGGGTGGGGTGGAGTGGGGTGGGGTGGGGGGGGGTGGTGGGCCCTAGGTCTGAGAACAAACGGATGATCCCTATTCTTTGAGGCCGGCGAGCGTTGGAAGAAACTACCAGAAGCTTCATTCATTTTAGCGGGAACATGCTTGGGATATTTGGAACAACAGAGTTGAGCCCTTTAGCGGACATCTTTCACATGGATCTTCTTGTCAACCATTTGGGAGGGTAAACAGGTTGCACCAACCTGCAAAGTTCATAGCCACATGAGCGACACAAGCCAAACCCCCGCACAGTTGCAAGAGACTCCGACTCGACTTGCCCAAGGCTTTGAGCCAGTACCTCGGCACCTCCCACAAACATAGCGTCTGAAGCTGTCACGACTTCCCTTTAAAACCCGACACAGGAAAACAGAGAAGCACAAACACCTGCCATTGCCCTGGCGAGGCTAGCACTTGGAACCCTTGTTTCTCGCCAAAGGTGAAGCACTTTTGAAACCAAGGGCCGAAACCCATGGAACTTAGGCCCCAGCGCTCTTTTCGGCTCCTCCCGCGCCTGTTAGGGCTTGCGAGGCATCACGAAGGCCCGAGGGCCATCAGCTTCCCCTCCGCTAGAAATCTACTGTGGCTTGCATTTCAAAGGATATGCAAACAGTGGCTGAGATCGGCAAAATAGCTCTGGATTGGCGGGGAAAGGTGACCCTCCCACTCTGGATGTGCCAAATTGCTTCCACACCTGTCCAAATGTGTGCACCCCGACTGAAATTCAACAGAACCGAGGAAAACTCCAAACCGGCCCTCGGGCCAGGCGAAAAACCTGGTTCAAATCACATTCGTCTCTCTATCTGGGTTCCCTACAATCGTTGAAGACAATTTTGCCCTCTCTCTCTCTTCTCTCGGCCATCTTTGACGGGTGAGCCACCAACTTCCCTCGGCTGGCGCCTCTGGCCGCTTAGGCACTGATTTGGCCTGGCGCTCTTCCGACCGCGCCAGCGCATTAAAAATGGGCTCAACAAAGGGGTGTGCATCTTCTCAAAGGTACCCTTGTGAATTTGGACGAAGGGAAAACCCAAGGCAAAACCCCATGTTTGGGGTCCCCTATTTGGGGTGCCCTAATTGAAACATACCCAAATAAGAAACTAAACACTTAAACATGTTCGCTGGGGAACATGCTCTTGGCTTTGCAAACAGGGGGCTCCTGAGTATAGCAATACCCTTCATTGGAGTGTGGAAGCAAGGCATGATTCTCCATCCAAAAGGCTTGTCTAGTACCAAAGGAACTTGGCCTATCCTGTACAAGCTACAGTCATGCTACAGCCATGCCACAGTGCTGGTCTCAACCAGTGCTTCGCGCATCACACCAAGGGACATCAGTCCATGAATATATATTCTGGACTCATGTGAGCATTGCCCAGCACATATCGACTTTCGGTTCTATGTACAATAGGCGCGTATTTAAACAGGCTCTACTGTTATCGCAATTAAACTAGGTAGCAGAACCACTTACTAAAGTGGTCAGTCGGGGCTGTGGGCGCTGCTGCAAGTGGGCGCCCTAGCCGTGTTTTACAGCATGCTCCAACAACATGCACCTGTTTTACACAAGCTCGTCCCCAACATCGTTTCAACACCCTCGGCATCACCAACGGCTTTGAGTTCCTAAACCATGAAATTACTCAGCGTCCAGGAACAGGAAGAAACGAATCCGGGCTAAACTTCTCCAGTAGGGGATTCATTCATCAGGGTTGGTCCTGAATGTTATCTTTAGGTTAGTCCAAAGAACCCTACCCAAACATGCATTTTTACTGCCTAAAGGGAAACCAAACTTGATGAGCATTCGTACAAGTGCAGTCCTCCATATTAATCTGGGGTCGACGCTAGCACACCGCTTGAGGGGCACGATGCAGCGCCAACATGTGCCAGCGACGAACTGTTCCGCGCCTCTTCCTTGGCCAAAGCCTCGGAAAGCGCTGAACGAAGTTCCGGTGGAACGTTCGAACATGAGAGTATATTTCCTCGCCACCTCTAGATGGGTTGGCTCCTGCGGCGCGGTACATCTAAGATTGTCTAGTGAGAGCTTGGTTTGGGCTGGCCTCCGAATTTGGGGAAGCCTCAACATGGGTAAACCAACCCCAACAAGTACCTTACCTTTGGCCCAAAACGGGCTGGAGGATCCCTCAGCTTCTCCCTAGAACCACTCCCAAAGAAGGAAATCGCACCTCAAGCCGAGGCCGACGAGGCCCCTGACATTCAACTCCTGGACGAAAGACATGTACCTGTGCCAGTCAACGCCTGCAACTCGCCCCTGTTTTGCACGCCCAAGTCCAACTCAGGATTGATAACCGGTTGATTCATGGGGCGCGTCCCAAATGGAACCATCGCGAACCTTCAGTTCTTGGACGATGGACCCCAAAATAATCCACCAGCTTATTGATCGGGGTCACCATCCAAGAAATGCTGGACCCTTGGTGCACGCTTTACGCTTGCGGTGTGCATCACCGACACTCAACTTTCAGACATGCCACCGCTCTTTTCGACTACTTGCACTGCTGAACGCCGCAGGCGCAGTAAGGACAGTAGTGGGACTCGCCGAAAACATGGGACCCCCTAAACCATGAGGTTGTGGCTCAAAACAGTGCAACTACCCGACATGGCCCCTAGGTAATTGGAAACAAAAACCCAAACCAGCGAAAAACCCAGCTCTTGGAATTCGAGCCACGGCCACGACTTCTTTTCGGCTCTCCAAGACCTCAGGGGGAGATTCCAATTTTGGGGGGACACCATCAGACATGCCGCCCTGGCGCACTCATCCTCATGAGGATCAGGCTCCTTGGCATCAGGAATAGACCAAACAAACTGCTTGCTTTGTTGCTGCGCCAGTAAAAAGAGAAACAGTTACGATCTGGCAGGACAGATTGATTTTACACCCGGCCCCCAGATTTCGACTGAGAGGTGCACCTTGGCCTGCTCCGGAGCAGCCGCAGGGGCTTTTGGGGCCTCAATGGAAAGCCGTTCGCTAAGTTTGAAACCCAGTGGCCTGGTGCAGGCGGCCTATGAAAATCTATGAGAAGGGCGATGATTCAAACCTGAGATGCCAAGTCTGGAAGATTGGCTCCGTCATCTTTCTTGCTTGCCATCGCCTCCTCTCTCCACTTTCAAGAGAACAGGTTCCTAAGGCACCGATTGCGCCGCACCTTTTTTCCTGGCATCCTTCGTCAGCGCCCGTCGCCTATGTCCCTTGCAGCTTCACATGGAACCAGCCATTGCAACTCAGAAAGCCACAAGTTTAGAGGAATCTGCTTTTCGTGAACCCCTTCTGTTTGCTCCATGCTCACTTGCAGGGGAGTAGTTGCAGCTAGGCTCACTTTGAGAACCTCGGATGCCATGGCCAGCCCTCGCCCAATTCCTAGTCCACCCGCATGACTCTTGGCCACAAACATGGTCGATGGCAGATTGATCCCTCCAAAACCCGGTTCAAACCATGCTGAGGTGTTCACTACACCCACAAAACTCCGGAGACCTCGGCCTCACCCTCACTTCCACCCAATACTGCCAAGGCGCGTCAGCAATCCCTTCTCCTCGAAGCATGAAGCCGCGCGGAGTTTTGGGCTCGAGAGGCCAATCATACAGGGATGATGCTTTTCCCAACCCAAAAGTGTGCCACCAGCATGGCATACATCTGCATGTGGGGTGACGTGACTGGCGAAATCGGAGAGGCCTGCGCTATCGTGGGCTTCTTGAAGCAAACCAGTGAATTCGTTCATGTATGCACTTACATCTGCACGTCTGTATATATATATATAGCATGTACATGTACGTACGTAGCGGTTGTCTGAAGTTCCTTGCTCCGGCAAATGCATTTGTTTTCGCGAAAAACAAGCTAACTTTTTGCCGACCTCCATTGCGGAGCTTTCAGGGGAAACACATAAGACCAGTCGGTTGTACCCTTCTTATCTCTAAATAAGACTCTTGAAGCCCATATTGTAATATATCAGGGCCTGTCCCGTCGCAAGTTTGAAGCGAGGGAGGGGGTGACCCTTTGCAAGGTAACACAAATTGTGCATGAGAGTTGTGGCTCTCGCGCGCACTGGCGCACATACGCATTGAGAAGCCGTGATGAGAAAAAAAAAAAAAAAACGGCACGCTGGGAGTGCATTCACGTGGAATTGCAGGTGAGCCGAGCTGCTAGTTTGTACACGTACGCGCGCGACCTTTGACAGACCTTTCCTTGCTAAGCCAATGGGGAAGCCACCTATTTTGTGGGTACCCTATTTTTAGCCTTGCTCGCAACCCGACTTCGGCCCCTCACGCCAAGACGCGAAAAGCAGCCGATTCAGGCCTCAGCTTTCCAATCATGAACTCCATGAGAATCGCCCAATTTGCAACCGAAAGGTTCGTAACTTTTCGAGCACTGGCAATACATGGGCAGTTGAAGAAATTACAGGGAGCTTGTGAAAACCATAAATCAAAATAAAGCAAACTTGGGAACACAACAAGTCTAATGCGTCGTGGGCATAATATCTTAAACACTTGAGCCACCAGCATTGGAATTGCCACAAACACAATCGTTCGTGGTCGGCATTGGCACTAGTAGAGCTTGCATCCACGGAGGTTGTTGCCCTGGAGCAAAGCCCCCGTTCCGCTGCTACAAAGAAAGTTGGCGTCGCAGCGTGGATCCCAGCGCCGGAGTCGGGCAAAATGCGTTTCAACAGCGAGCCAGCTCCCTAAGGGAAACCAACAGCAAGGGGTTCGTTTCACAGGGGTAGCTGGCTCCATGAGGACTGAGTTGTTACAACCAGGCGCCACAAGATAAGCTCAAGCTCTAAAACAACGGCAATTTGGTTCAGCAATGGTGGTTGCACTCACGTCCTGAGCGGATTGCCCACAAAAAGTCCACACTTTGCATTTCCCACTGGAATGGTCTTCCAAAAAAGTTTCAAGTCCAGGAACTCAGGAAGTGAGTGCAAGAAGAGAGTGGCACCCTGCCCTCTTCCCGCTTGACGAGCGGCAGGCGTCGCTCTCGCCGCGGGTACGGATGAAGCCAGCCAGGGCAAAGGTATAGAACTCCCCGGAGTATTGGCCGTTCTCATCAACCTGAGGGGTCTGTGTCTTTTGCAGCTTGGTCACACATTGGCCGGGGGGTGGCATCAAGTTAAATCCCTGTTTGCCCACAATGGTACAATAGCGACTGCACCTTTCAAACAAAGGTCCCAAAAACCTGGGGTCTCATCCACTTGCGAGTCTTACAAAACAGAAAGACAACATAGGCATGAACTTTCTACTTTGGGTGAAGCAACCAGTTCCCATAATTGGAGTCTCATCCACCTGTTTCCAAACAAACATGTGTCTCATCCCAAAAAATGTAACATGTGTCTCATCCCAAGAATGGTTTCATCAAAATGATCGAACAAATCTGAATCTCATCCAGCTGATTCCCCACAAACAAACGTGGCCTCCCAAAGGAATCGGGTCTTATCCGCATTCCAGACGTGCTCGACCACCCGAGCACGGCGCGCCGGCCGCCCGATGCCCCGATGGTGCGCCTGCGCCACGTTCAGCTGCACAGCCCCATGCTCCTTGGCGGGGATCAAGCGGTTCGTAGCGGAGCACTTGCCTTCGATCAATTCGAGCGAGCAACGCGGCGCCGCGGAAGTGGGAGGTGAGTCACTATCGAAAGCTTGCGGTTCCATATCGCTGCAAACAAAAAGAGCAAAGAGTTCTATTTAAGACAATGCCGCACAACTAAAAACCATTTAAACTGATGATTTGTGCACATGAGGGTCATCACTCGGTGCGATGCCAAAACACGTGACTTCGGATGCTTTCTCCAAACAGGGTGGAAACGCTTTACGGCAACACGACAGGGCTTCGGACATTTTTTACAAGAGCTCGCCTTCGATTTCCGGCCCCCTGGATTCGTTTCTTGGTGGAAGTGACGGGTTGTTGGCAGGCCCGGATCTGCCTGCAAGTGGCTTAGCACAATGTCAGCTTCTAGCAAAACATATAATACATCACCAACACAAGGCGGTAGAAGACCAGGCATGACATGAGTACATGCCTGCCACGAGTACGTGCGTGCGTGCATGCGTTCATGCGTGCGTGCGTGCATGCGTGTGTGTGTGTGTGCGCACGCACACACCCACAAGCACCCAAAAGCACCAACACACACACACACACAGAGCAAAACACACACACACAAACACACAAACACACAAACACACAAACACACAAACACACAAACACACAAACACACAAACACACAAACACACAAACATACACACGCACAACCACCCACACACAGACACACCACATAACACATCCCTGATCCTGCTCCCTCTCTGTGTCTGTCTCGTCTACATCTCACACTCCGGCCTGAGGCCCTCCCTGTTTCAATCCCACGGAACATTGTCAATACTCCCTACCTTATGCCTGACCCTTACACCTCCAGTGGCCATGGAGAAAAGGGCACCCCGTTCCTTGCGAGTCAATTTTGAAGGCAAACCCTGCAACAAACAAGACCTGGCAGTGGAGGTCTGTGAGCTGGCGGGGCACTGTGCTGGCCTTCCGTGATCAACTTGTCTCATGCCCACGAAATGCAGTTCGCCAACGGCAAGTCACTTGGGCGCCGCTGTTTTGATACGATGTCGTGGGTTGCTTTGTATAAAGGGAAGCCACAGCTACACCATCCTTTTGAAGATATCAAGTCTTATTTGGAGAAACATATTGTCATGCTTTCCCTGTAAGACCCCTGATATATGTTCCTCTTTCATTCCGACCCTGTGTTACAGGAATGAACCACGGGTGCTCCTAATGGGGCAGCCCCCAAAATAACTTGACGGTGCAATAGACCGTCAGCTCCAGAACAAAAAATATACACCTCCCCTTCCTGTTTTGCTCCACAAAATGAGCAAGTTCCCCGAATTTCACGTGAAGTTGGTGAGCCCACCCACTTTTCCCTCACACCTTTCCCACACCAAATTCACCGAATGGACCCCCCCCAGGCCCGGATCGAGCTGCGAGGCAGGTAGAGATCCACCACTTTGCCCTGGACGGCCGGTCGCCGGTTGGTGTTCGGTTCTGCCAGCTTGTGAAACAATCACCAAAGCAGGGGCTTGGTTGGGGGCAAGTTTACAATTGCAACTGCAACCAGCATCAGGACAATTAATCACTCGAAGCTACTATCCTTGGGCTTAAATCCTTGGGAAGCTGGAGAAAAGAAGGAGCGCAGGCATGTGCGTTCACAAAGAACCAGCTACCGACCTGTTGCTTCATGCTTAGCTGGGTCGGTGATAATGCGCTGTTCTATGTCTCTTCCTTCTTGTGGTTTTAACGGGTAACCCGGTATTGGCCTACAAGGGGGACACGCAGCAAACAAGTGTTTGCAGAGATAGGATACCCTTCACATGGTATCTTTTGGCCTTCCTTGAAACATGGCACACGATCAAAAGGGTATCTTTTCCTAAACTCCTTGGGAAAGAAACCTTGCGTGGTCAAGCCTGTGGTGCTCAGGAGTACTGGAAGACTGGCATCCAAGGAAGCAGGAGGTCTCAGCACAGTAGTCAATTGCCCCCATAACGCCCCAACAAAGAATCTTGCAACCATGGTTTTGAGTGAAGGGTTCAGAAGCTTCCGCAGGTAGGAGGACCGTGTCTCCCCTGACCTAGCCACAGGCACGAAGTGCATCCGAGTGGGTGGCAATTCTCCGATCACTTACCCGGCAATTCTTGTCTTGCAGGACTTGCCAATGTCATCAAGCAAACCTGCAACCCGGAAGTCACATATAGTTGTTTCCTTCGGCGCCAAGAAGGCTGAAGTCTTCAACACACCAGCCCTAACCGACATTGAGCAATGCCTCCGTCTGAGCACATACGGTCCGATGCACAGTGCTCCTTTCACGTCTGGGTTCCCGGGCCTCGTCGTTCTGCATCTTGCCAGCGGATTTGTGTGCTAACTTGGGTGCCAAAAATCCTGGAGCCCAAGGCGGCGTCACCCACACGGATCTCCCGGTGCCTTGATTCAGGATTAGCTGAGTGCTGTGTCACATCCGCACTGAACAACAGTAACACTAAGAGAAACCTCTCTAACGGACTGCGTGCTCAACCAAAACGCAGTGGCTCAGTCGGAAGGATGCCCGAGAGCTGCACTGCATCGCTGTCACGGGGCCTCAGCCGTCAAAACGGGCACAACAAAATCGAGGCGATTTGAAGTAACCTTTCCCACACGTGGCCTGATAGGTCTGCGTTTCCCTGGGAAATCCAGTAAAGGTCTTAGCGAAGGTTGCAAATTCATCTGCGCCTGCAGGGTGCAAGGGGGCCAGCTGAAACATGGAGACGAACACAAAACAAAGCAATGAGGCAATAAAAAGACCTGGTCTCGGAACTGCCAGGCGACAATGTACGAAAAAAACATGGATCAGGTATGTGGTACTTGGGCGACGCGATGACTCTTGCAGGTTTGGTTTGGCAGCTGAGGCCCGCACGCAGGCACACAGCCGTTGGGCCTGTCACCTACCGGGCTGCCAGGCAAATGTTTAACAGGTAAGCCAGCTCCCGGTCTCGCAGAAATCGCAGGCTTCGTGTTTGCATTTCAGCTCAAAGTTGAAGATGTCCTTCTGCTATGTTCACATGACATTGTCTTTTGCATTCCCAGCGCCAGTTTGGCCGAAAAAAACGGCACAGGATGGCAAAACGCTCCTCAAACAGGGGAGGCATGTCAAGGTTCTTGGAGGATGCCTGAAAGAAGTCAAAGATTTGAAAGGCCCTATTTGCTCAAAATGGGCAACCCCCCTGTTTGGATGGTTTCAACCGAGGGACACGGGTAAACTCGCCAAGTAAAAAATCGCATTGACGTGCAATCCGATTGGCCGTGCTACTTCGAGGGATAAGCATCCAAAGAGTTTCGTGCTGAAACCAGAGGGTTCGACTGGTCTGATGTGATGTTAGTCGCAACTTGGGGCTTATGGCAAGTGCCCTGAGAACCAGCAGCGCTTTCAAACAGCCCACTTGGCAGCAAAGCCGCACATGTCGGAGCTTCCTCCGGTCAGCCGGAATTCACACGGACAGCATGCCTGGGAATGGTCTGGGAAGAGCAATGGCTTGCAAAGGCTTCAGTGACGCACTCGCTTCAGTGCAAGCTTGTATACAAATATACTGGCCTCCAAAAACAAAGCAGGACCGGTGCTGAAACTCCAAGCCTGCAACTGCGCCCTGTTCCGCTGGCGCGCCCTCTGCCGCTTTCTCTGACGCTGGCACGCTATCTGCCGGCCTCACTTGCACCATGCAGGCACCGCCGCATGTCCATGTTCCCCAAATTATGAACCTATAAGACTCTATGCCCTTTGCTCACTGCACTTCCTCTTTGCACTGCAGCAAGACAGACTTAGACCCGCGCGCAGGTGCGCAGCTGATTCCTGCAGGGGCGACAAAGTAGTAGTCCCGAGCTGCCATTGGACTTTGCATAGGCTGTCTTTCACTGTTGGTTCTGCGACGCACGCCCCTTTTACCCCCACCTCCTCAACTTGACCCTGATTAGCTTATGACACACGCCAGGCTGACAGCGCTATGCACCATCACAACAAGTCAGGAAATGCAGACCAACAACGTCCTCTGGCTTGATCAGTTCTAAACACAGGCCGGAAAGCTCCATTGCAACCAGCTCAGTTGACAATAAAACAAGGCTCAAACCACTGCAAGAAAAGCGCAAGGTTTCTCAAAGGCAGGAGGCATCCGACTCAGCCTCCACTTTAATGATTTGCCGCTTGTCTGACCCGGCATGCCCCAAGCATCTCCAAGCCTGCAGCTGCAGTCTCTGCTGTTGGCGCGCTCTCTGCCGCTCTCTCTGCCGCTGGCACGCTATCTGCTGGCCTCATCACTAGCTGTTGTCAACCCACTGCTGTCAAAGCCAAATACACGACCACCATGCAGTCACCGCCACATGGCGATGTTCCCCAAATTATGAACCTATAAGACTCTATTCCCTTTGCTCATTGCACCTCCTCTTTGCACTGCAAAGCAAACATGGAATAGCCAACGCCGTCCAAGCCAACCCTGGACCCCAGACACACTTAGACCCGCACGCAGGTGCGCAGCTGTTCCCTGCAGGGGCGACAAAGTAGTACGTCCCGAGCTGCCATTGGACTTTGCACAGGCTGTCTTTAACTGTTGGTTGGATGACGCACGCTCCTTTTTCCTCCACCTCCACAACATGATCCTGAGTATTTTACAACAAACGCCAGGCTGCTAGAACCATGCACCTGCACAACAAGTCAGGAAATGCCGACCAACAACGTCCTGTTCTAAACACAGACCGTAAAGCTCCGTTGCAACCAGCTCAGTTGACAATAAAACAAGACTCAAACCACTGCAAGAAAAGCGCAAGGTTTCTTAAAGGCAGGAGGCATCCGACTCAGCATCCACATTAATGATTTGCCACTTGTCTGACCCGGCATGCTCCAAGCATCTCCAAGCCTGCAGCTGCACTCTCTGCTGCTGGCGCGCTCTCTGCCGCTCTCTCTGCCGCTGGCACGCTATCTGCTGGCCTCATCACTAGCTGTTGTCAACCCACTGCTGTCAAAGCCAAACACACGACCACCATGCAGTCACCGCCACATGTCCATGTTCCCAAATTATGAACCTATAAGACTCTATGCCCTTTGCTCACTGCACTTCCTGTTTGCTCTGCAAAGCAAACATGGAGTAGCCAACGCGTCCAAGCCAACCCTGGACCCCAGACACACTTAGACCCGCACGCAGGTGCGCAGCTGTTCCCTGCAGGGGCGACAAAGTAGTAGTCCCGAGCTGCCATTGGACTTTGCACAGGCTCGCTTTAACTGTTGGTTGTATGACGCACGCTCCTTTTTCCTCCACCTCCACAACATGATCCTGAGTATTCTACGACAAACGCCAGGCTGCTAGAACCATGCACCTGCACAACAAGTCAGGAAATGCCGACCAACAACGTCCTGTTCTAAACACAGACCGTAAAGCTCCGCTGCAACCAGCTCAGTTGACAATAAAACAAGACTCAAACCACTGCAAGAAAAGCGCAAGGTTTCTTAAAGGCAGGAGGCATCTGACTCAGCCTCCACTTTAATGATTTGCCACTTGTCTGACCCGGCATGCCCCAAGCATCTCCAAGCCTGCAGCTGCACTCTCTGCTGCTGGCGCGCTCTCTGCCGCTCTCTCTGCCGCTGGCACGCTATCTGCTGGCCTCATCACTAGCTGTTGTCAACCCACTGCTGTCAAAGCCAAATACACGACCACCATGCAGTCACCGCCACATGTCCATGTTCCCAAGTATGAACCTATAAGACTCTATGCCCTTTGCTCACTGCACTTCCTCTTTGCACTGCAAAGCAAACATGGAATAGCCAACGCGTCCAAGCCAACCCTGGACCCCAGACACACTTAGACCCGCACGCAGGTGCGCAGCTGTTGCCTGCACATGAAAAAAATGCCAAGTGCTGTCACAAGTAGGCGGGCTAAGGCAGGTGGATGCCACCAGTTCCCCTCTACGATTACATCTTCCTTCTTGACCCATGCCAAGCTGCAACCATGCAGCAATGCACCTTCACAAAGGCCATAATCCCAAACTTGCTTTGCTCCACATGTCCGACTGCTCCACCAGCAACAAGGCTGAACAGACCTTCTGGCTTTTTTTTACGGCGTGCCGCGGCGTTCGCGTCAGCCTTATCTGCTGCGCTTTGCCGGCCTAACCCACCCCCAAGAAGAATCGAAACTGACAGGAGGGCTGCGACCACAAAAACAAAACGGCACTGGACAACAACTGCATCAATGTACAACCAAACCGGCCTTCCTTTTCCCACCAACCACCAATGCCTGGAGCTGCACTCGAGAGCGCTGACCTGGTGGGATTCACCCCGCCAATCGCCGTTGCGCCATGCGTGAAGGCAGCGTGATTGGTCAAAACACAGATCTCAACAGGTTCATCCGGTTTCCTCTTGGGGAAATCTAATCTCCCAGCCCACACCGGCAAAACATGGTATGCTCAATGATTCAATAACATACCCAGGACAAGTCTGCCATGAAATCATAGTCTTACGCCGTCAAATTACTCAGTTGCTCCATGTTCTTTGCACGCCCTTTTTGCACCCCCGTGGCCAACCACGCACGATGCTTCCGTCCTGCCATGCAACTTTCTGTATCTTTATAGCATTCCAGGGAAACCAACAGGAACCGCAGCCCCATTTGCCGGGGTCAGAAGCCAAGACTTAGTCTCGCGCGGCGCGCAGCCATTGCCTGCGAAGGCCCGTCAGCCGATGCAGAGCCGGATGAAGTGAAGTCGGTGCTACCCATCTTGAAGGAAATTTAGTCTTGCACAGTGCTATCCAAACCCCCTTCCTGGGAAAACATTGGGCTAAGCTACCCCTGATGCTATTTCCCTTGTACCCCTTCATTGGCGGCCTGCCTCTATACACTTAGGGGTTGGGGATCAACTGGTCTGCGCGGCCCCCGGTTGCTTCACGGTTCCTGGAGGTCGGGGCTTCAGATTGAAGGCGGCTTTCACGGTCTGCATGGCAGCCAAACACATGACTAAGCAGGCTACTCCTTCAAAGGGATTGCAGGTGGAAAACTGCGCAACTGAGTCCTGCGGGTCCACAAGTTCCTTGCGAACGAAAGCTCCGCTGAACTGAAAGCATGAGGAACTACCCATTTGTTGAAGCTGGGCCATTGGGCTGCTGAAAATGTTCAACACCAAAGCCCGTGTAGAGAAATCTGACTTCGGCGCCGCGTGTGGAGGTTAGGAATTTGAGTGGGAGATAGATAGGGAGCTAAAAACAAAACCAACCGAGCCATCAAATTTCGTCGCTGCGCTTGGACATCCGGAAAATGGTCCTTTTGTCCCCCCTGGTCCTGAATCACAGCAGTGATGCACGCAAATTAACATGGAACTAGCAAAATCATCATTTGCAGAGGTGTCTCCCTTTTGGGGAGTAATTCGTGTCCGCCGTTCAGCTGAAGGACATGCGCCCGGAAATCCGCCCATCGAGGCCCAGGACGCCTGAATTGCCCATCGCTCCTGGAAGCGCGCGACAGAGCGACCGTCCAAAGTTTGGACCAGCGCGGGAGGGAAGGTATTTCTGCAACAGCGGGCCTGTCTCTCTGAGGGCTTTTGCATTACACCCTGCAATTACACCCTTGAGAAATTACCAGAATGGCTCAAAATAACACGGTTTTATGTTTTATCCGGAACTGTGCCTAAATGGGGTCAATACCCAGTGGGCGTATTCCCAGGGTGTAATACAAAAACCCTTAGAGTCTCTGCGACTAGTTCATGACTCTAGGGGTTCCCTTGGTACAGGCCCGAACCATTGACAGGCATCACTTTGTATTGGCAGCTTGGCCAGTAATAACTGTCAACTTTGGATTTATCCGGAGCCCACAATCACAGGCGCCCCTTCTTAAATGAGAGAGCTTCTCTCATTCCAAAAATTCCTCTGGCCCAAAGGTGAAGCATAAGGAACTCCGGACTCAGCCCCGCCGGACAAAGTTAGCTTTTTGCTGAAGAGGGCAAATGAAGGAACCCCAAGTTTGGGGTTCTTGGCTCCGCAACTGTTGGCTCACGTTTGCTCCAAAGCGCAAAGGCATCGAATGTGTGAGCGTTGAATTTCCAGGGTTCTCAGGTCGTTCAAGCTCGTTCGGCACCCTGGAGCTGGCCTCGAAAATAGTCCTGACAAAGATACATGAGACCACACGGCATACAAAGGCTGCGTTGGGATTGATGCGATTTCAGAATGCAAACAACCCGGAGAGGTTGGATTGCCCTTTAACATCACGTGAAATTGGTCCAAATGTGCTATCAAGGAAACATGATGACATGTAAACAGCTTCATGGAAAAGAAAAATCAAACTCCCTGGAAAATTCATTCGCGGGAAGGGCCCAGCCCATCGGCGACAACGAAGCAGCCGGCCTTGCGACAGGCAGACGGCCTGGCACCAGGACTATTGGTTGGGCTGACCTGCAAAATAGTGGGCTTCAGTCTCCCGAGCAAAAAAGAAGTACAAATCTCCCCCGCCCTAAAGGCCGAAAAAGGGGGGGCCATCAAAACGGCACCCGCCTGTTCTTGAGGTCCAAGCAAGACGGGAGAGAGTAGCTTGACTCAAGCCCCTGGGTGTGCACATGTGAAATTAAAATCAAATAACACACATCCATCCCCTTATAATGGTCCTGCTCCAGGTATGTCTATGGAAAAAAGCGGTCAAAGGGCCAAATTCAGGATCCTACATGATCCTACCCTGCGATTTGCACGTTGTCTTGCGGTCTCAGCCGCCATCCCGGCCTCAACTTTTGCAATTTCGGCCAAAATCCGTATGGTTGATTCCCTTTCTGTGAAAAAAAACAAAAAAACAAAAACACCTGCCTGCTCCTGGCCCTGGGATTCGGTGGCTCCAGTCGCCAAACTGGGGGGAAGGGGGAAGGCCCAAACCGGTGATGCTGCAACGCGGTTTCCGCGGCCTCGCTGCTCATAGCGGCGCCTGGCATGGGCGAAGCGGGAAAAGGATTTGGAAAACGCGCCGCAAGTTCCAATTGCTGCCCCAGGGATTCTGCCATTAACAATCCGCAGAATATTCTGGTATTTACAATATTCCATTATTCACGTTGACCCTGCCTGCAAACAACAAATATTTGCAACAAAGATGCTTCAGCAGCATGGGTCAGAATGGCAAACCTGCACAGCAATTGGCTAGTCCACGACCTATGGCCACTTTGGCACCGGCGATCTAAAGCCAAAAGCCAGCCAAATCCACAAGCATAGAATCAGGGTTTTGTGGCTGCCTTGTGAAGGGCAACGCCAAAAGGAAGCCACTGAAAAGATCCGAAGGTCAATGGTTCAAAGCCATACGAGAGCCATTGCAGCCCACATGCCAATTGAATTGAATGGTGCTGATGGAGGAATCTGAAACTTGATTGCTTCTCACGATGTGTTATGATGTGTTCTGCATCTTGAGGACCCTGGTATTTGATCGCATGGCCTATTTCGGGGCCAAGGGGACAATAAAAGAACCCTTTTATATGTGTTTGGCTTTGCTGGCGAGGAGCCGACTGTTGCAACAAGCTAATTCCCTCATAGCAGTGAGTCACAAAACCCGGCAGTGAGTCACAAAACCCGGTATTGAAATGCTATTGTTCCTCACTAACCTTCATCTACCCCGGGTTTTGATGGTGGCTCCCGTGAACCTTCAGATCTGTTGCAAAACACGATTTATCGAAGATGCTCGGGAGCCCGTGGACCTCTTTCTGTGGCAGACTTGCAGCCTCTGTCCGTCTGAGTTTGCCGCTCATTGAGGAAACCAACAAATGGGTGGTATCCCTTTGACTTCACACATTGCTGTGGGTCAAAAATAGGTAATCACCCATAAAATGGAATCCTGGTAAATGGAAACATGGACTAAAACCTGCGTTCCCCTGGTGGTTTAATTTTGACCCATACCCACATTGCGGCACAAGAAAGGGTGCTGCAGCAAAAGACCGACCCATCCGATGCTTCAGGCCCCTGCCCAGCAGCCCCCCCGATCCAAACTCTGCGAAGCGACGACGAGAATCAGGAGCAATTGTGGGCCCGTTTTGCGAACTGCCCGGCTTGCCAGACTGTCTGGGAAGCAAGAGGCCGCCGTCTGAACAAGCAATTCCGGAACGTGTGGCCAGTGGACTGTGTATATTCTGGGTACATTAGAACGCCTGATGCGAAACCAGGGGGTCAGGTAAGCACTTTGCCAAACTTCAGGCGAAGTGTTGAAAAACAAATGTGTTTGTCAGACTGCGAGCCAAGTGGCCAAGGGGATCTGCAAGTTTGCGCAAATCCCGACTCTACAACCTGAAAATGAACGTCGAGGAGGGGCACAAAACTTGCCTTCACATTCGCTCTCTGATCGCTGTCCCTCCATTGCATGGTCGTTGAAATTAACTTGCACCGTCCTTTCTTGGATCTGGCCCAAGCCGACTTTTCCGGAATTGGGATTCAGAATCCATCAGGGATAGGATCACTCCAAGTTGCAAGGTGCTGAAATGGTCTGGCCGCTCACTTTTTCCAGGCCTCGGGATTGGCTGTGTACTTTAGACTGTTGTCGGACAGAAGGGTGCATTTAGCAGGCGTGCATGGCACTGACATGGGCTTGCACGATCTTGCACCCCTAAGGAACTGCATCGTGCTAGAAAAGAATGCCCTCTCAAAGAGCCTGAGTCATGTCAAACGCAAAGCAAGGGCTTTGGCAAGCTTTGAGGGTCCCGTGGCTGAAAGAGCGCTTTAAGGTTTAATTGCAGCAGTCATGCCATGGACAAACAGAGGCCATAGGATGCCATTCCGTGGCTGCAGAACCACTTTAAACTCAGCATGTGTCCTCTCATAATATGACTTGCTTTTTTGGGGGGGAGTGTTCGAACCCGTTTTGCCCATGACCCAAGAATCATGGAACCTGACTGAGGCCTTCTGTGAAAGGGCATTCTAGCAGTTGAAGCCTCGACCAAACATCCAAATGCAACACGTAATCTCCAACTGTAGCTTGAGGATCCAGGTGGGTTATTTGGCACCCAGCCTTCCGATAAGCAGCCGAGTAGGAGGAACCAGCACCAGCTCTCAGTGCGGGGCCCTCCCCAGCATAGGAAAGCAGAGGAGAAACCTGTGGCAGCTGGTGGCGTCGTCATGGAAGTCGCAGAAAATGAAAATCGGAATCGAGCCTTGAGGGCTTTTCCCTGGCTTAGCCTTCGTTTCTCAGCTATCCTCGCCCTCCCAGATTCGAGAACGAACAGATCAAACTGTCTGGTGACACCTCCAAGCAGTCCCAGGTGGATGGGAGGACCACGCGAATGCGAGGAAATCCTCAAAATTCAAAATTACTCAATTCCCCATAAAAGGGGGAATCCCACCTCTGCTTCAGATTGTCTCCCTCAAAATCCGCAGGTGACACTAGAAATGACCGGTTCCCGTCCCCGTGTGCACCTCCAAAACTGCGTCGCTCTCCCCCTGAATGAGACCTCCAGCCTGGCACGGAAGCCGTTCTGAGCCCAGAACCAAAGGGCCCAGGGCGGGAAGGTACGAGCCCAGCGGTTCTCAGAACCCTGGGAGGGTCCCTTCAAACCGACCGCGGGAAGTGGCCATCTGCAAATCTGGTAGGGGGCATGCCTCGGTTTCGTTTTGCTGGGGGACATGGCTTGCAGCCAGTACTCGAACCTGGCAGCTTTACTTTTGCTAGGGGCTACGGGCCCACCCCCAACCTCCGAAAAAGGCTGGTTGCACCTTCTTAGAAGGAGGTCTTTGAAGTCTTCGTGGAACCCTTCTCTTCAGAGTTAAAACGCGGCCACCAACGACCAAAGCACTCAAACCAACTTGTCAACATCTTAAATCTCAACGAGTGCGTTCGCAGCATCTTGCAGGTGCAGGTCTGGGCAAATTGCCTAGCTCCAAAGCAAAGAATACGGAACCCTCCCGCAGCGAAGGACCATCATCCAGGGTGAGCTCGTTTTCTTTGCTTAGAGCATTCCCAGATCAATGCGCTGATTCAAGACCCTGGTCGACATAGACAACTCTGTTTTGGGTTGACCATACACGGCACCCGCGAAATAGCAAGGGCAAATGCATGCCGCTGCACAACTCGGCTTTTGCAACAACGCTAATCAAAGACCGGGGCTTCGACAAACCCATGAACCATGTGGGCTTGGGGGAGAATTAATGCAAGGGCCTGCCATTCTGAAATGTCCAGTGCTGACCGATCATTGACACTAGGGTGCTAAGCAGGGAACAACTTGTGTTTTCCTTGTGGGACATGTTCTGCACCCAGATCGCTGAAACTCCATTGCGAGGGCTGTTGCCACCCTTGACGCGCACCTTCGCCACCCAAGAGCGGCAAAGTGCGTTGACCATTGCTCTGGCGCTGTCTGGGCCTGGCAAGCACGTTTCTCCGTGGCGGGTGGCCAAGATGAAAACAAAGCTTTGCTGCAAGGTAGCATGTGCCGCCTTTCAAGGGAATCAAATTGAATTGGGGGACCCAGGCTAACATCTCAAAGTGCTTCAATAAAAGCCAGATTGCCAGTTGATGCCAGTTGCATCAGTCTGCCCTTCCCATGTCAACTGAACCACACATGTGCGTGAGGCCAAATGGCTCATTTCGCCCTTCACCATTGGATGGGGTCTTTGGTTGATGGCTTGTAGGTTCCGCGCTCACACACAACACCTTGCGTCCCGGCCCTGAGGCCCTGAGGCCCTAAGGACGGAGCTGTCAGTGGCTGTGCCAGGGGCATTCTTCACCGGTGCGAACTCCTCTTCTCTGAGACTTTCCAAGACAGCCTGAGTCGATACTTCTGCGCGATTGCTCAAGCCAGGGCGGGGAGCGTTCTTTGTAAGAGAAACATATGTGATTTCCAGGCTCAACGAGATCAGCTGTTAAGCAAGCACTTAGAAACGGACACCTCTTGCCTTTCACCAAGACAAAAGTGGCAAATCAGCAAAAACATTAAAGTTGAAACCACAAGAAAACCACCGGGCCAAACCAGCTCTTCACCAATCAAAATGGCAAGCCAAACCTAATTCCAAGTGAAAATTCCCCTTGGGGAGCACACTGAACGTAAGGACCCAACGGTTTGAGGATATCGTAGTTTCTAATAAAAGCTAACAAACTACGAATTAACTGATTGACAAGCTAACTAGCTAACAAACAAACAAACAATTTGGTGAATTAACGATTTGACTACCCAACATACTAATTAGATCTACTTAGCTACCTAGCTAGCAAGCTCACCAACTCACCAACTCACCAACTCACTACTCAACAAAGCACGCACGCACGCAAGCACGCACGCACTCTGTCACTCAGTCACTCACTCACTCAATCACTAATGTTCTAACTAACTGACTGACTGACTGGACGGACTGACTGACGACTGACTGACTGACTGACTGACTGACTGACTGACTGACTGACTGACGGACTGACTGACTGACTGACTGACTGACTGACTGACTGACTGACTAACGAAATTGCTCAATTTAGATCAGTTCACCTGGAGGCTGCCCTGAAGCCAGTGAGACTTTGACGATCGAAGCTCACTTCACCCTCGCCGATGAGGCGCAGGCCATCCGGCTGCTCATGGGGAAAACGTCGAAGATGAAGGCTTCGAGCTTCACGCCTCGCACCACAAGCAGCTCCCAGCTCACCCCCTCACAAGCTCTGGATAGCTCTGGCTTCATTTTAGCATTCGTGGTGCGGGTAACTCTCACCACCTTGTTGGCCAAACAAGCTGATGGAGGAATCTGAAAGTTGATTGCTTCTCACGATGCGCTATGATGTGTTCTGCATCTTGAGGACCCTGGTATTTGATCGAATGGCCTTGATCGTTGGCTGGCATGGCTTAGGGAGCAACAAAGCGGTTCGACAAATGCAGATTCTGCGCTCGAGTCATCATACACATGTCCAAACAATGGGCCCAGATTCAGCCAAGGATGTGTATGAATCTGGGGAACTCGCGAGACAACGCTGTTTTACAAACGGGTGGATGACCCTGAGAAAAGGATGTTGGGTTACTTGAAATCCGCTCAAAGGATGCGTCCAATCACGCCCTTTACTCCACGTCCGCTATGCACGAGCTGAACGCGCTCATATTTGAGCTTACATTTGCTCCAAGAACGAGATTTCTCGAAAGTGCGCATCGTGGCAAAGACATGCAGCAGCCAGGTTTACGAAAGGCTCCAACGTGGGACTGTGGCAGCAGGGTCCCTGGCCTTCCCCTACAGCTTTCATGCTTGATTGCCGGTACCCTTGGAATGACCCAGTAGCATGGAGCCTGACATGCGCGGCTTGAAGGAACCTGCCAGGCTCATTTTAGTGGAAGGGAAAGCGGTAGGTTTTGGCCGATTCCGAGACGCCCCGACTCGAAGTTCTGAGTGCCAGCCGTTGTTGGCATCTGGCTTCACAGTCTTCCCGTCGTCCCCAGCATGCGGGATCCTGAGGCTTGGGGCACATATGGCCACATGTCTCACAGAAAAATAAGAAGAACAAAAAACGGTTGTGGCAACTCTTGTTTTTGTGCGTGCCCTCTGAGCACCCAAAGAGTGCCTCCTGTTGAGACCGTGACTTGTAACAAAGGTCAACTTGCCAACCAAGAGAGGTTCTGAGCCTACACACCCCTCCAAATGAGGCATGGTCACAACGACCGATCATGCAAAGCAGTGGTCAGTAACATTGCGCGGGCTGAGCGCAGACCAACATTCAAAGCACGTAACGAAACTAAAATCAAGAATTCCACGATATTCCACGTGGGGAACCTTCGTGCATGTGGTTGTTAACACCCCTTTGCGAGGTTGCTTTGTCCAGCTAGCGGCCAACATGCCACCCAATCAGCCGCCATTTGGCCAAAAGGTTGAAGGCCGCAAATTAAGCGGCGGGTACAAACCTTGAGTGTGTGCCAGGGTCCTCCAAAATTCTTAGAACGCATCTGTGTGCTTGTGAAAATGGGATCAACTTGTTGGAGGCACATACATGATCCTAAGGTCCTCAACTTGGAGACACACACACACACATTTGCCACCACTGGGTGCAGTGGATGCCATTTCACACACCTTGGCATGTCTCGCCCTGGTTAATTTTGGTCTCTGGACTGACCAAAAGGAAGCCCATGGGAGATGAAGAGGGGGGTCCCCTCCAAGAAAAGGAAGAGGGGGGTCCCCTCCAAGAAAAGGCAAAGGGCAAAACAGGCCCCACCCCTCCGGATCTCTCCGGATCCCTCTGGTCTAGGCCACAAATTCGGTTGGCTCTTCTCTGTGGTGGTTTTGCCGGCCAGGAGCCGCGCTTCTTGTGCGCCAGGTGGAACATGGCCGACATGTTGGGCACTACCACCTGGCGACAGCGCCGCAGAACATGTCGACCCCCGGATGAACCAACCGACTTGGTCTGCAAATGGGTGTGTGTGCGTGCGTGCGTGCGTGCGTGCGTGCGTGCGTGCGTGCGTGCGTGCGTGTGTGTGTGTGTGTGTGGTGTGTGTTTTGTGCAGGGTCCTTTTGAAAACCAACCACTTTTGTCGGGTTCTCACATTGCGAGACAAAACCACACTTTGCGATCGTTCCAAAACCTGCAAAAAGGCCTGGATCTCGTATACATGGTGAGCTCGTTTCCCGAATCAACTACGGGCCCACGGTCAGTCGACCAGGGGTGTGTGAATTCTCGGAACCTAAAGTGTGCTCTTTGGCAGCCAAATTAATGAGGCAAACAGTGGTCGCTAGATGCCATAGTTTCAGCTCTTTGCACATCACTTGCGGGTTGCTAAATCGAAATGAGATGACAGAAGTGCGTGACCCCTACAGGATGGAACAAGTAAAGCAAATGCACCGGAGTGCCTCATTCACCCCGCCAAAGCTCGTTGAAACACATGCGCATTCAAAGGCGCCAAGTTCGCACGAAGCGCTGTCCTATTGCCGCCGATGTTTGGAAACAGGAAAAGGAGCCCTGCGCTTTCTATGGGGATCATTGCTTCCCCAGGTAGTTTGGAAAGGACCCTGGCTTGCTCCAACACCACTGGGATGCCGCACATCGCACAGGAAGTCCACAGAGAAGAAATGATTGCAAATGTTCCCGGCCTCATGGCACAAATCCGCGTGCAAAGCGTGTGCGGTGGCAAATGTGATAAGCGGCAAGTGGAATCTTGTGCAAATGTCCAGAACTGCTGTAGAGCATCCTCAAGCAGGCGTTGTGACAGTGTCGCATGAAAGCCAGTCCAGCCAACCCCCACCCCCAAATGGGAAAAAAGCCCCTGCTCCATGCATCATTTTCCCGGTACCCACCATGGGAAAGGAACCGCACCTTTCTTAGTGCCTGGCACGGAATCTCCGCCCCCCCCCCCCCCCCCGAAGCCCTGTTCTGGCAGGGATCTGGCTTCGCATCAGCAAGCCGAGCGCCCTGCGCCGAAGACCAGCCGGCCCGCCGCGTCCCGCTTCTTCATTCTTTCCTCATCCAACTCGCCTGCGGCATTGCCCGGCCCCGTTGGATGAGCGCCAGTGAGTGGATAAGAAGTCCCTTGCGCGGAATATACGTGTGGCAATCCCACTCGGGAGACTCATGTTCTGGGGGGCTTGTGTTATAACTGGGGTGAATCACTTACCAAGCCCTGGTCATCCAAGCAGGGGCCCAGTTCCGGGCCAGTTTGCAGGTGCAGCTTGTTGCTTGGGCAGCTTAAGCCGTCTGAAGTGGGGAAACGACCCTCCTCGAAGAAGATCCTGACACCGCTTGTTGTTTCTGCAGCCAGTTACAGTTGGCAAGCTGTGTCTGTGCTGCGGCATGAAAGCCGAACATATCCCAATGCTGCAACTGACATAGAACCCAAAAAACAGTCCTCCCCAAGGAAATTCCTCCATCTCTCCACTTTGTTTTTGGCTTGGCTCCAACGTCACGTGCTCAGTTCAGCTGACGGAAGCCATGCCGCGGCTGAGTGCCGGGCTGTACTCCACCACGCTGGGCTTGCCACCCTTCCTGGCCATGACCCCTACCTTCTCCTGCGGGGTAGCCTTCCAAACCTCGGAGGGCCCCCAAGGCACTGCGCATGTTGGCGGTGCTTGGTTGGTTGGATGCTTGCTTGGTTGGTTGCTTGCTTGGGTGGGTGGTTGGGTTGGGTGGAACTGGCACTGGTTGGCTGTTGGCAGTTTTCCTGGCCGTGGCACCCACTGATGGTGTGCACGGCCACTTCGAGCACGCAAAGCCTCGCTGAGATTCAGGCACACTTGTTGCCGCAGTCTGCGTTCTTGGAGAGGCAGTACCTCACCGGCACTGCACGCAGCCCTAGATTTCCTGTTCGGAGCCCATCTGGCAGAAGCACCTCAATCAGAACCTCTCTGAAGCAAGTGACATCGGCGAAGACCGTGGGACCCCCTTTTCATTGTTGCCCTTGTACCCACAAGGGGGCGTGTGTGCGACTTGTTTCTGAGGGAAACCTTGTTTATGCTTGCTTCAAAGCAACCAAGAACAAAGAACACCCATCCTTTGCGTCAAACTCTGGGCGCACCAACTCTTGACACTTGATTCAAAGAAAAATCGTCGAACACCAGGGTGTTTCTCAAAATGATGGACCCCCTTTTCAGGGAAACTAAAACGGATACCACAGATTTTAGGGGACCTCGAGTGTTTTGCCTGGTGCTTGAGGCCCGAGCCCCACAAAGCGGGGATCTGCTGGCCGGCACAGGGGGTTGTCCACTGAGAAGCAGTGGACGCTCTTGACCTCAGCTCCCCGTGCTCTGCTCCTCATCCCTTGGGTGCTGTAGATCCCCCAGCAAAAAGTTTAACTTTTTGCTGGTTAAAAGGAAGCATGAGGGGAATCCAAAAAGTTAAAGTCTAAAGATCCAACCCGAGGTCCATTGTTCTCTTTTGGAACCACACGCTTCTTTGGAATTGCCCCCATTTTTCGGTCCAAAGGATCCCTGAAAAAAGTCCCTGGCAAATAACTTGAGGTGAACTGCACGCTACCCCTCGTTCTCCTTTTTGCCAGGGCTGTTCGCGGGGGATCCATAGGACACCTAAGATACAGTAATTGTTGTTCAAGAAGACCATCTGGCCCCAACCCGAGAAGCATTTACGTAAAGCCCACGAGCTCAGGAAGTGAAAAGTTACATGCCGCCATTTCTTAAAAAGAACCCGCTTGTGGTTTCCCTTTGCCATCCAAAAAGGGTAATTCCAATGAAAGACGAGCCACTCGAGCCGAAAAAAAGGCAGATCCGGGGCCCAGGCCCCCAGCGACCGCAGGCGATCCAGGCACCCGCTCTTCTTGAGAGCCTGAGAAACCCAGCGACGCGATCTTCCACGCTCGATTTTTTGGCGGCCCCGCAGCCGAAAATCCGGATGGCCCCCAAAATTCATCTGAAATGTAGGTCATGTTAGAAGTTCCCCAGTTTCGGAAGGGGCAAGGTGCACACCCAGTGATACAAGCAAGGGCCCGTCCTTTCGACAAATGTAAGGCCTCAAACTGGGTGTCCCCTGAAAGTGTCCCTTGAATCCGGGTAGCCTCAAAAAAAGACACCCATTCTTGGGGCATCGTCAGCAAAGTCTTTGAAACATCAAAAAATGTGAAACGACTCAAAATGAAGGGTTGGTCAATCCGAAATCCGAACTCTTGTTGCTACCAAGAGAAGGAGCCCTTTGAGAATCACCGTGATGGCAACCCGAAAACCCCCCCTTTGCGCGCTTCCAGCTACCATTGATGTAGCAGGTGGCACAACCCCACCAGTCGAAACATCAAACAAGCTAAACTATGGCACCCCACCCGCACCAATGGACATGGAACCTGACAGGCGTGAAAATGGTCTTCCAGAACCCCCCGAAGGCAAAGTTCCATGTTGATTGGTGGGATGGCAACTGAAGCGTGAGGGATTTCCATCGCTTGTTCCGTGCCGCCCCCCCAAATCAGTGAAGAAAAGCAACTACCCACCGCATTTAAAGATCTAACTTCAAATTACACTATGTGGCGCCCATGTCCAGACATGGCAGGATATGGTTGCCCAAAGCAGCAAAGATTCAGACTGGACATTCTGACGAAAACACAATCGCTGACGCTGCGAGATTCGCGTTGCATCATCTGCCTCAAAATGGTTCCTAATGGTTCCAAGATCTAGTAGCTCATGATTTGCCTTATGCCCGTCGGGAAGCCCCTGCCTGCTTCTGGGTTTTCAGTTGTCCATTCCCTTAGGGCATGGGCTTCAGTGCAAATATCGAAACAAAGGCAACGAGTGGGCCGTGTCGGAGACATCCGAAGGCCTTTGGAAGGTCCGAGGGCCTGGTTCAATCCCAAGGCTCTACAAGTTGAATCGTGTCTTTCGACCCAGCCACTTCATTGGAAGAACACACCAGAATTGCAGCCAGCAACTTACTAGATTGGTCTTGGACCCCGGAAGCTGGCAACAAGTTTGAAGGCTGAAACTGGTTTTGGACTCCGGACAAACATGAGTTCTACTTGAAACTATTCTTATTGGAGATTGGGAGGCCTGCTTTTCTTGTTCTTGTCAGGTTCCAGCTCACCGTCTTTTGGTCTTGCGCCCTCCCACACTTGGTGCCCCGGACGGGATACACACCCCCGTTGCCGTCCGGATTGCTGGCCATGACGCCAGCAGACCTGGGCAGATCTGCTTACGGGAACCCATGAAACAAATCCTGGCTGATTAACAGGGTGCCGAAAAAAGGACACCTAGGAAATTACCTGGTACATGTAGAAACCCTTTGAAACAGCTGGTAAAGGTGAGTGTCACGTTTCGCTTGGCCAACATGTATCTTCCGGATGAATACTGTGGATGGACAAAATCATGCACAGGTTAGGATGGATGAATACTGGAACAAACTGCCTACCAACTGGTGCAAGACTTTGTCCATCCACAGTAGGTGGGGTGTAGGATTGAGACACGAACTCCTTCCTTCACGACACTCTAACAATCCCCCAGGTCGATTCATCTGGGGTCAACAATATGCCATTCCCATGAAAGTGAACATAACACATTAGATGGATGAAATTGAAGTGGGCACCCACAAGCGGAGAAAAAACTGTCTTCTTCTCGCAAGGAAATTCAACAAGAAGCACACATTCCGATTCCATCGTTTGACTATATGTGTGAGCATTAACCAATGGAGCTCCAGTGGCAGTGTTTCAGCAGCGTTCCTTCTCGCCTACCAAGTCATTCGGGCAATTCGCACGTCTGAACACTGCGAGCGCTACCAGGGTGAAATAACATGCCCAAACAATCCTGCGAGCTTGTCTGCCCGTGTCCGTCACCTGCTAGGCAATAACTTGTTCAACATGTGCTCAAGTACTCTTCTAGCTCACCCCGACATGGCAAAAAGAAGAAGAACAATGTGACGCCATATCAAGAACAAGCGCAGGGAGTTCGCAACTCAACCCCTCCAAAAGAACAGAACTACCGTGAGTGCTGGAACCCTTCCGGAATCTTGGCCGCCAACTCCGAACCAGAATGTATCTGGGAAGAGACCCCAAAGCCGAAAGCGCCGTTAAGGAACAAACAGTCAAATTGGCAGAAAACTATCAAAATAGATGATTGTTTATTGAGAAGCAGGTTCTATTCAAGCAGGAGTCAGCAAGGAAAAGCAAAGTTTTTGAGTTGATTTCAATATGTGGTTAATTTAATTGTAATTCATAATGTAAAACTAACATTCAAAAAAAGAGTTTACTCCGCGTCCAAATGCATGTTAAAGGTTGACTTTAGAGAACAGTTCTGGCCCAATAGACCTTTACAACTCACACAGAATTCACGCAGATTTGAATACAAAAATAATCCCAAATCAGAACTTGTATCCGGTTGGATTGTTTTCATCTAGAGTTTAGATAGAAGTTCTTTCAAAAACTGTTGTAGTTTAGCGCACAACTAGAACACGTGTATACATGTATAACAATTGAAAAGCAATCAAATGAAGCAGGGTTTGCACTTTGAGCTAGAAGCGACTGTAAATGGAGTTCACTAGGCTATTAAATGCAATTGAACGGCATTTTTGACATACTTTGAGGAGGACGAAACTGAATCAGGATTGGGATAAATTAGCTTTCAAATGTAAAGTCTTTTCACAGAGAAACTTAATAGAATTGTGTGAGGTCACAACTTAACTATAACTTCAATTTCGAACTATCATTCAAATGGGATGCCCTTTCCAATAGGATAGTAGTTGAAATATTGATAGATTTTAATACGAATTTAGCATGAAATTCTGAAACTAGTTCAACTAGAATTGTCATTGTCTACGACATGAAGTAGGGTATCCTTTACAAAAACAAAATATTGACAATAAAGTCGTTTTGGAACAAAACAGTGAGGAACGAGCCAATAGAGCAAATCCATAGTTTGAATTGGATTTCCTTTCCAATAGGGCTTTCGTTGAGTTGTCTATAGAATTTGAAACGGACTCGGTATGGAACAAATTTAATTAGAATTGCCCTTGTAAAAAGAAAAAGTTGGGTAGGAATTCCTTTCGAAACTTTATATTCACAAATCGGAACTTAGATGGAATTTGATTCCATATATAGCTTCAATACAGCTTGATTAGAATCAACATAGAGCGCTCAATTAGGATGGAATTGCATGGTCATAGAACTCTATAACAAATTTAGATTTAAATGGAACTCCTTGCCAATTGGACTTTCAACTTCAGTTAGAATCTAAAAATAATTTACCCTCCCACAGACTAACATGGAAGCGCACAGACCCGCGTAGAAAGACTACTTTCCTCTTGGAAAGGAGGAGGGACAGGGCATGAAAGGCGGCTAGCTGAGATTTTCGTGCAGCAGGAACATTGAGCATTGTAGCATGTAAGTATGTTTAAGCTGATTCGCACATGGAGTAGCACAGCAAATAATAGCCCGCAACAAGCTCAAAGAACATCGAGAAAACACGTGCATGGAAAACACAGCCTCCAATGGCATCCCACCTGCAAACAAACCCCCAACAAACAAATACCCCCGCAAGAGAAAAAAACGGAGTTGCACAATAAGCTAAAAACCAAGACAAGACAACAACACACACACACAGACACACACATCCGGCGCAAAAATAAAAGAAACATGCACAAAAAACGCATTGCACAATCTACAAAGAAAGAAAGCAACAAAGAAAGAAAGAAAGAAAGAAAGAAAGAAAGACCGAAACAAACAAACAAAGAACACACAAACAAACAAACAAGCAAACAAACAAACAATCAAACAAGCAAACAAAGAACACACAAACAAAGAAACAAAGAAACAAAGAAACAAACAAACAAACAAACAAACAAAGAAACAAACAATCAAACAAACAAAGACCACACAAACAAACAAACAAACAAACAGACAAACAAACAAGCAAACAAACAAACAATCAAACAACCAAACAAACAAACAAAGAAAGAACACACAAACAAACAAACAAACAAACAAACAAACAAAGAACACACAAACAAAGAACACACAAACACAAAGGCCCGGGCTCCAGGATGATCTTGCCCTCTGGCGTGAGGCAAGGCATCACGCCCTGCGCAAAGAACCAGACCTCAGTGAGGTACCCCTAGGGGTTGGTCTGCCCAAACCCATCCGGGGTGAGATGGGGCCAAACAGCACCAACAAGCACACGAAATGTGTGTGGTGCAAAAACAAAGGGCGTTGGGAAAACAAACAACAACATCCGGCCCCTGTTTGCGGCCTTTTAGGGGAAACTCAAAATGATGCTCGGTTTGGCACCTGGCCTTTCGTTTCCATTTGAAACAGCCTCAAAAGGCTACCCTAAAGAAGACAAACCCGTAGTGGAATCCCCAGGGCGGTGTCAGGTGCTTGCAGCTCGAAGCAAGTAATTACGTGTAGCGTACCCTGAAAACGTAAACAACGCCTGATTTCAGAGACGGCTGCGCTGTACATGTTACGTTTCCACAGGGAGAAACACAATGGATCCTCGTATTAGACTGGATTTGCCCCCTGGGAATAGACACACAAGGATGATAAACAGCGTCCGCGCAGTCTCCAGCACCTGGCAATGGTCAGTCTACTGGCTGATCGCCCCTGGCCCAACGAACACATACCGTGAAAATAAAACCTTGGTCCTTCCCGGTAGAGCTGCGCCCAAAAACCCATTGACTTGTTTGTTCTACTACATGGATCACAAAGGTTTATAGGTCTTGCTAAACTAGGTAGTAACACCCCGTTCTAAAACAGCGTGTGGGTTTTGGGTGCGTGCTCAGGCCCAGTTGAAACAAATGAACCTAGAGGATGGCCTGTTGGTATTAACGGCTTGCCCAAACAAACAGGAGAACCGTGCGCATGTTCGCGCGAGCCATTTACGTGGGGCTCCCGCATCATCCTTGGGCATGCCGAAGAAGCTGTGCCTTGGTCTGGCATGCGCCTGCAACTGCAACCTCCGTAAGTCCAACCTCCAAAGCGGAATCCCCAATCCAGATACGAAGTCAGTAGGATTACGACTGATTTGACCAGGAAAGGATTTCCATGTGGAATAAGGAATCAGACTGATGTTGAACAACTCAACTCGTAACCAATTTGTTTTTGGAGCTGCTCAGATTCATGCAGGGGGCCTTTACATTTACCACGTGGTACGTTGCCAATCTTGACGCTGTTCTCCTCACAATCCGCTGCCAAAGAAACACCCCCCAGTCGCTCAAATGCTGCACCTAAAACAAGCACTGACTTCTTGTCAAAAGCCTGGGAAGCTGCACGCCTGTCCCTGGATCCTAGCCATGATATTGGATGTTGATGGCAGCGTCGTATTGCGTGATGTTGACCTCTGATTGCCAAACCACTGAATAGTCTGGGGCTCCGCTCCGTGCAATCAACAGGAAAACTGTCGTGCAGTAACCACTCTTCATGGCGCACTAAACGCAGCTTGCCGGCCATCAGTAAGTAGCACTACTATACCGATCACTGATGACACTCGAGCCTTCGTATCCCAATCATACCTTTGCATTATGCAATGCGTTGCACATATTCTTGCCAGTACGTCCAGCATCATCCAGCAATTGTTGTGACCCTTGGAGATTTTAAGACTCCCTGAGCTTTTCGGTGCCAGGGGTTCCCGGCTTTTCGAAGAAATCCACTGTTTGCTTGTGGGTCATCGGGCCTCAGACTGTCGCCAGCTACTTGCCCTGCGGCTGAGTCAGAAACCAAACAGGCTAACCCTCCCAAAGGAAACATGGATCCTGAATGAGCCCCTGAAACGTTCTCAAAGTTGCGTTTGGCTCCGTTTCGATACAAAGGAGCCTGTTTCACATGGGCCTTATCTGTACTTTGGGACCCTTTGGTGGACATCATTTAGGTAGGAATTCATGTGCACCAACTGCTTTCGAGCAGTTCCCTATCAAAACTCATAGCCACATGTTGGCGTATCATGCTTGCTTGGCGGAGTTCCTTGACCGCAGGACTGTCCTTCCTCAGGAGACAGCGCGAGCTGAGTGGCACACTGTCATCAACTAAAAGGAATGGCACTAAACTCCGATCTTCGCCGTAGGAAGCGCCGCAGCGCCAACACCAAGCAGCCTTTCGCTCGCGCAAAAAGGCCCGCGCTGGTCATCACCAGGAAGGGCAGGAAGGCTTTGGGGCCGCCGGCCTGCGGTTTTAAGCGCTTCTCTCACCAGTCGCCCGAATCCCTTAGTTGACAGGCCACAAAAAGCTCCGACTGTTTCGGCCTTGGCCAAAAGCACACGGGGACCAGCAATAAACAACTTGAAGTGTGCCAACGGGCAAGCCATCTGGCTGGTCAAAATCCCAGCAAAAATGGATGCCACGCAGGAGGGAAGATCTGGTGTGATTCACCTAGTCGCCCCAAACCTGCCCTGCAATGTTTCCCAGGCATCCCGTTAATCCCCTTCACAAATGCTGGCACGCGTTGATGAAACCTCCTTGCTGTTCAAGGCCTCCTCTGCAAATCCTCTGGCACATTGCATGGCCCCGCTGGCACCCAAATACATAACCAGCGGAACTCTTGTCTTGCGCAAGGAGTACAATGGCATAAGGGGGAGATGAAAATGGTAGAATTGTGTTCCCACACCAATGCTGAACATCTCCCACAGCAAGGCCAAATGGTGGGTTTGAAGAAGATGAAACATATCCGTCCCCATGTTGGCTTCTTCTCGCAGAAGTCAAACACGCATGTGTGATTTAGAACCCAGGCTGCAGTAAGAGTGGTCCGCTCAAGGCCAGGAGTGTGCAGTCTCCAACATGTTGGCATTGTTAAAGACGCCCCTTATGATCTATTTGAGCGCCTTCATAGTCAGCAGCAGCTCGCTGCTAAAACATAACATGAACAAGTAAAACCAGGCAAGCATAGCGAGCCAAGCAAGCAAACAAGCCCCGCCTCCTTGGCCAAAGTCACGAGGCGCCCAAGCTTCTCAACCTGTGGCACCGGCCCAGTCCTCTCTTGGACTGGCAGCCACAAGCAAGGCGGTGGCTGTTTGTGGCGGCCATCAAACCGGCCTGCAGGGAAGCCATAGAGAGGAAAGTTGACCAGCTTGGCCTACGGCCGGAACATGCCCCCAAAGGTATTTGTCCTATGAGGTCCGACGTTTCGGTCCGTTCCTCCTTTGCCCCCTTGCTTCTACGTGAATTATGACCATGTACGCCCACACCCTCCTCTCCAAATGGTTTGGGAATGGGTTGCAGGCGTCCTTTGTCTTCCTAAAAAGGCACGAACTAGGGCCTGGGGGTTGATGCCTCGGCAGCTCCCCCAGCCGATCCACCTGATCGCTGGGGCAAGGGCCAGGATCTGAAAGATCGGCTTGTGCGAGGGCAGCCCAATGTCATAGCAGCCCTTCGGGCCGTCCTTGGCGGGAAAGCAACCGGCTTAGTGGGAAACTCTGAGTGGGGCTTCCATTCTGAAACAATACATAATCCGAAATTCCATGAAGGCTCGGAGGAAACTCTCATTGTTTCCGAAAGGTCTACAAGGTCCCCGGAAGGCCCAGCGTCACCCAATGCTGAGTTCAGCATAATCAAAACTGGGGCCGCTTCTGGGGCCCTGGCTTTCGATTAAACCAACAGGAAAGCACTTGGTTGGGGTCCAACCTGTGTTTGACACATGACAATGCTACTTTCCCAAGACTCCTGCAAGTCTCAAGAACTAAACGTGCAAGACTGCCGAGGTTTTCAAGCAAACCCGACCTCTCCCAAAAGACATGTCAGCACGCCCCGCCCTTGTTCGTTCACAGCATTCAACTCAAGTCGGCTACAACGCGTCGAAAGCCTCGGGTCAGGCCCATGTTTCTGGCGGCATTTAGCCAGCCTCTTTGCGACGGTTACATGTCCCACACCCAACTCATCGGCGCCTTTCTGACGATCCATTTGGCAAGTGAGCATTTTTTGGGTGGCTCGGGGCTCATACACGTGGAGCCTACGCTGCGGCTTCGTAGGGCCAGAATTTGTGGCTTCGCCTCTGTCAAACCGCCTTTGTGAGAAGGGAGCCTTCGCAGCAAAGCAATCTTCCTGAATCAAATGAAACGGGCCGGAACCTGAGATTCTGAGAACCTGAGCGTCTCTGACAAGCGGCGAAGCCTAGTCGGGTGCCTTGCCCGCCCGCCAGGACACAAGCTGCCACCTGCCGGAAATGCAGCCTGTTCCCATTGGATCGTTGCCACTCGAGCCACCAGAATTCTCCAATGGAAACCACCCGCCAGTTTCTGACTGCAACCTCCAATCCCATTTGACCCTCTCAATTCCTCAAGGTTCATACACCAGATTCCCCAGTATGCAATAGACCTTCTGTTGGAGCAAAGTATGGGGTCTGGAACAGATCGGCGAAATATCCGTCTGCTTCTGGCTCTTGGTTTCTTCACATTGGAAGAAGCACAAGTTCATAGCCACTCAGCAAGAGGTGTCATCTGGTAACTCATATGTTTAAGAGGCCCACAGGCCCACAGCCAGCTGCCAGAGCCACTACCCGACGTGGACCCTGGCCGCCCGGGCCTCACCGCGACCTCGGTGGAACCAATTGAAGGCAACATGTCCAAACAGCACCGAAGGAGTGTTGGGTTTCCCTCGGATCAGCCCACAAAAGGGGCACGACTCGCCAGGAAACTTACATAAACTAACCCCGCATCCCATGATCTTGGCCCACCTGCATGGCCGCTTGCGCGACAGCCTCGAGCTCTCAGCCCATTTACAAAACTGCTTAGCACGCCCTTGTCCGCCTGGCTAGTTCCTTTGCACTTTCACTTTGGCTTTTGCTGTTCTGAGCTAGATCCTGAGCAAAACAGTTGTCCGAGCCATGTCCACGAATGCATGGCACACCACAATTCGCCAACACGTACTGCAAATTTGCTTTCTTTTATCATAGCCACCCCTAGGTGTTTATAACGATAATGTCGGGCCGGGCAATGATCCCAACAGGTACGTCTCCCATGGCACACTGCGGTTTAAAAGATGTGTGTGGGTGTGCGGGTGTGAATGTGTGTGAATGTGTGTGAATGTGTGTGAATGTGTGTGAATGTGTGTGTGTGTCCGTGTGTCCGTGTGTCCGTGTGTCCGTGTGTCCGTGTGTCCGTGTGTCCGTGTGTCCGTGTGTCCGTGTGTCCGTGTGTCCGTGTGTGGGTGTGTGGGTGTGTGGGTGTGTGGGTGTGTGGGTGTGTGGGTGTGTGGGTGTGTGGGTGTGGGTGTGTGGGTGTGTGGGTGTGTGGGTGTGTGGGTGTGTGGGTGTGTGGGTGTGTGGGTGTGTGGGTGTGTGGGTGTGTGGGTGTGTGGGTGTGTGGGTGTGTGGGTGTGTGGGTGTGTGGGTGTGTGGGTGTGTGGGTGTGTGGGTGTGTGTGTGTTGTGTGTCCGTGTGTCCCTGTGTCCCTGTGTCTCTGTGTCTCTGTGTCTCTGTGTCTCTGTGTCTCTGTGTCTCTGTGTCTCTGTGTCTCTGTGTCTCTGGGTCTCTGGGTCTCTGGGTCTCTGGGTGTGTGTGCGTGTGTCGTGTGTGTCGTGTGTGTCGTGTGTGTCGTGTGTGTCGTGTGTGTCGTGTGTGTCGCGTGTGTCGCGTGTGTCGCGTGTGTCGCGTGTGTCGCGTGTGTCGCGTGTGTGGCGTGTGTCGCGTGTGTCGCGTGTGTCGCGTGTGTCGCGTGTGTCGCGTGTGTCGCGTGTGTCGCGTGTGTCGCGTGTGTCGCGTGTGTCGCGTGTGTCGCGTGTGTCGCGTGGGTCGCGTGCGTCGCGTGCGTCGCGTGCGTCGCGTGCGTCGCGTGCGTCGCGTGCGTCGCGTGCGTCGCGTGCGTCGCGTGCGTCGCGTGCGTCGCGTGCGTCGCGTGCGTCGCGTGCGTCGCGCGCGCGTGCGTCGCGCGTCGCGCGCGCGCGGCGTGGCGTGGCGTGGCGCGTGGCGTGGCGTGGCGTGGCGTGGCGTGGCGTGGCGTCGTCGCGTCGCGTCGCGTCGCGTCGCGTCGCGTCGTGGCGTGGCGTGGCGTGGCGTGGCGTGGCGTGGCGTGGCGTGGCGTGGCGTGGCGTGGTGGCGTGGGCCGTGGCGTGGCGTGGGCCGTGCCGTGCCGTGCCGTGCCGTGCCGTGCCGTGCCGTGCCGTGCCGTGCCGTGCCGTGCCGTGCCGTGCCGTGCCGTGCCGTGCTGTGGCGTGGCGTGGCGTGGCGTGGCGTGGCGTGGCGTGGCGTGGCGTGGCGTGGCGTGGCGTGGCGTGGCGTGGCGTGGCGTGGCGTGGCGTGGCGTGCGTGCGTGCGTGCGTGGGTGGGTGGGTGGGTGTGTGTGTGTGTGTGTGTTTGTGTGTGTGTGTGTGTGTCTGTGCGGTGTGTGTGTGTGTGTGTCTGTGCGGCTGTGTGGGTGTGTGTCTGTGCGGCTGTGTGTGTGTGGGTGGGTGGTTGTGGGTGGGTGTGGTGTGTGTGTGTGTGGGTGTCGGGGTCTGTGTGTGTCTGTGTGTGTGTGGGTGTGGGTGTGTGGGTGTGTGGGTGTTTGTGTGTGTGTCTGTGCGGGTGTGTGTGTGTGTGTGTGTGTCTGTTTGTTCTTGTGTGTGTGTGTGTGTGCGCGTGTGTGTTTGTGTGGTTGCATGTGTGCGTATTCGCGTGCTTGCTTGTGTGTGTATTTGCGTGTTTGTGTATGTGTGTACGCGTTTGGGTGCTTGTGTGTTTTTTGCTGTGTGTGTGTGTGCTTTTGTGTGCATGTGTGTGCGCGTGTGTTTGGGTGCTTGTGTTTTTTTTTGCTGTGTGTGTCTGTGTGTTTGACAACCTCTCAGAGTGAGTTGGGGTTCCCCTTAAATTTTCCTTCTCCAAACGAGTTGTCAACTGGCAAACAGTGGAAAAGGGGTCAGACTACCATGGGCGCCATGGTCCCCATCTGGGGCCTCAGGCCGATGGCTGCCAAGCCTTGCTGCTCCCATGACTGGATGTCCTTCTGCGAGGCGTCCGCCAAACCTGGGGCCGTCAAATGGCCGTCAAATGAAAACCAGGCAGGGTGAACTCATGTTCACCCTTGAAAAGTACTAGCCCCAAACGGATTCTCTTCAATCAAGAAACAAGCCACCAACTGAAATAGTTGGCAAAAAGCAAAGGGTGAACTCAGGAAAGCCCATTCTGAAATCGGAAAGGGTGCCCTGTCCCCAAGAGGATATTTTTCGAAACAATGCGGTTTTCAATCAATCACTCAATCAATCAATCAATCAATCTGCAGGAGAGAAGTGATGATCACCCGCTGCCTATGTTCTTCTTCTGCGGTGCGGTTCAAACTTCAACCTAAGCCCTAAATCCCAAACCCGCGAGCCCACCCTTTGAATCCTAGACCCTCAGCCCTGAGAGGTTTGCCCTGAATCCACACCCCGCACCTATAGGCTGTATACACTAAATCCGAACCCAAACCGATCTCTACGCAGAATCAAGTAACTGAGACCCCAACCTCTGAAGCCCTACCCCCCAAAGACGCCGTAGCAGTAAAAAAGCACTGAATCCCTACAAACAAGTCCTACAAACAACTGAACCTCTTCACCTAAATCCCAATGCGCCAAATGTCGGACGTGGTCGAGCAAAGTCCTCCAGGGGAATCCCTCTCTGATTGGAGCTCCAACCGAGGACTTCGAGGTGCGACAGTTGAGACTGACGTTACCGCCTCAGTCGTTGCCTCTTCCTCCCACAAACAAGTGCTGCTGCCTTGCGATGCTTGGCAGGATCACTGCTGAGAAAGCTTTGTGCTGCCTGTTCGCAATGATCCTTCCTTCTTTCGGGGCTATAGATCTATTGCAGAGCATGTGCATTGATGGGTACTTCATCTACATCACCCTGTCCCTGCAGCATTTCGTCTGGAAGAACCAGGCCCAAGCACGGGCGCTCAATGTTGGAGAGATGAAGAATCAAAAATAAATCACAATGTCATAGCCGGTTGCATGGTCGCTCGGCGGGGTGCACAACTGTGGGCATGGCCACATCAGCCATAGCAAGCAAAGGGGGGGCTGAGCAAGGACACTGCAAACTGGGCTGATCGTCAATGGCAGAATTTCAAGCCTGAAGTGAGAGTCAAAACTGGATAGTCTCCAAACAAAACTCTGAAAACCATATGAATTTGAGGAGCCTTGTGCCCAGCTAAGGGCCTGGCACATGAAGTCCTCCGGCGGGTCAAGGTCGCTGGCCTGAGGGCTCAGATCTCTGCGCGTCAGCGAGCCAAAGGAAGTCATAGAGCTTTTCCGTTTAAAGGGGGTCTCCATGTGTGTTTGTTTGCCTTCAGCTTGTTCTGCTCATTCCCGGGGATGTACGCACTGGGCCTTTTCAAGAGCTTAGGGCCATGGATGCGGACCTGGGCCCAGCTTGCGGTATTCTCTACATTCGAGTTGGGCAACTACCAATAAAGGGTGACCCCTCTGCAACTCTGCAGGATTTTGAGTGGAACCGTCAAAAACTCTGCCTCGGCTTTGGCGGCTTTCAGTTTCAAACGTAACCCTCTACGAGTAGACAGATAGAGTCATTCCATTCGATAAAGCGAGGTTCAGAGTTAGTTTACTGCAGGGGGGGAATTGCCCGCCTTCCCCCCCGGGTCGACCCTGCCTGCAGGGCGGCCGCTTCTGCTTGAGCGCTCCTTACGAAATGCGACATGCCCAAACAGGAGGCGCCCAGCTAAGCTGTGATTTGGATTGGGGTGGAGGTCAGAGGTGCGACTTCCCAATAAGTTTCCAAAACAATTGGGTTTTAAAGCCCGAATCACCGTCAATCCAAACCACCAATTAAGTGCTTCCTGAACATAAGGCTGTGTGGTTTGCCATTTGGGCGTCCTTTGACTTCAAACAAAGGGGCTTCGTAGGTGTCGCGGGTGGCAAACAAGTCCAGCCCGGACAAGCCGGGAATCGACCCCCCCCCCCGCCGCGAATGTGCAAGATGGATCCATGGACCTCATACCGTAGCACACTCAAAAGGATGGGAACCGTCACACCCACACTCGCCACCCCACTCAAGCAACGCCGCGAGGCCACACCCATCCGCTTGTCCCCAGGGGAAGTCTGCAATTGGGGGGGACAATGCGTAACTGGGGATGATCTTTACGCGGACATGACGTATTATCTTATTCTCTCACCAGCATGACACCTGACCAAGGGAGGTCCATGCGGACCAATAGGGAGATATTGGATATGCCACCAAGTAGAAGTCCAAAGTGCCAACAAAGACGCGAATCCCGTTGAGATTGTTGCTGGCAGGCGTGACAAAAAGGCGGATACCATAAAATACACCTGGCAAACAAACATAAACTTCGAACATATCCAAATAGACGGCTAATTTGACAGCCTCTGGGTGCATGTCGACTTTGGGGTCACGCATGCAGCTGAATTGGGACTAGACCTCCAGCCCCCTGCATTTCCATGAGGGTCGGGCCACCTGGCTTGAATGGGCTAAAAACCAATATTGCTCAAAAGACCCTATAGCACCAGGGTCTGCGTGAAACAAAATCTGCCCAACGCGGATGGAGGCCGGGCGGCTTGAGACTATTGGTCACGTATTCCAAGTCCACCTCGGCAAGCCTCAGGTGCGCGACGGTGCAACCAGCCTTTCCGATAGAAGGGAGCCATTTTTGGGGGGATCCCGTCGAACATGGAACCCACCACTGGGTCTCCTTAGGACAATTCTTTTCCAGGAACCCCCAGTCAGCTTCCATGTGAGGAGAGTAACAATATGGTGAACCCACCTAAGCGAAAAGCTTGCCGCTGAACAACCAGGATGGAACTGTCGCAATGTCCGAACAAAGGCGCTGCTGCTTTCCTTTCAAGGGTGAATCAAAGATGTCCCTTTGGACGCCGAATGGTTGGAACATGCCGAGGAATATGATATCAACACAGTCACCCAAATATGTGCCTCACTGCCTCGAAGTTGGGACCCACCTTTGGCTTTCAAAACAGGAAACTCAAAGGAAACCAAGAAGCTGGAGGAGTGCACTCTGAGGCACACCTGCACAAACCATCGCATGGAACATCTATGGAGGATCCGAAAACTGTGCCTGCGCTGCCTGTGCTGAACAAGTAAGGACATCAAGCTTCTGCTCAAATTGAAAGCACCCCCGGCGGAGAGGAATGCAAGGTTGTCCTTTTGCAAAAAACCACACCGTAGAGAAAGCGACCATAACGCCGGTCCCCTACGGCGAAAAGATCAACCGCACTCTTGGGACGACCAGTCATTTTGCCCAAAGCAGCGGTCTGAACAGGAAACCCTGGGACCAAACAAAGTCTCACCATGTCTCACCTGAAACTGCCAAACCGTGGCTCTGAGCAGTTCTCCCTCAGATGACAGCTGGCAGTCTTGCATGTTTCGCGCTGGGTTTTTCTTACCAAAAAGTTGTAACCCCAATCAAAGCGCACCTCGCCTCAGGTTCCTTTTCAAGTGCCCGTTGATGCTTTCGGGCAAGTTGCAGGGCCTCTGTTCCAACCTGGCACTCTGTGCGTTGCACACTTGCCGCGAAGCTTCCGTTCGCTGTCTTGCGCATCTCCGAATTAGTTCGGTACGTAAGGGGTGCATGGGAATAAGCCGTTGATTGACATTTAAAAAGCGCAGGAATTAGTTTGTTGCAGTTCCATCGAAAATTCAATCACGTGATTTGCGCTAGGAAATCAAGGCTTCGTTATGCCTGGGAAACTTGTCTAGCTATGTCCAAGCGTCTTGGGAATGGAGTCCGCTACCCTGTGTTTCCAGGGCCTATGGAAATAAAGCACTCACCGGGCACATGGCCCCTCCTCAAGCTAGAACTAAACACAAGAATTAACTTTGATTACGGACAAGCTTCAGAGGGTTCAAATCCAGGTAGGGTGAAACGGGGGCCAGGCTTTCGACGAAAGATCCCACTGTTGCGAGCAGGATCAGGCTATGAACACAGCACATTGTCCTATGCTCCTGGCGAGCTCTTGGTTTCTACGCTTCCTTTTGCCACCTCCGCTTCGAGGACCGCGCTGCGCGAGCAACGCGTGGGCCTCTTCTGGAGAGCATTGCTTGCCATCGATGAACCGGAAGACCTCAAGCATCGCCACAGAAAAAATGCCGGAAACGCCCGTTGCAAGGGCCAGGAGGAACCCATGCCTCTGCAGCAATGGTTAGTACTGCCGTACGTAACCAACAGCGAGGATTCAGCAGTTGTAAAAGGGAATATGTTGCCTCCAGTCACGTTGCTGAAGCTGCAGGTTGCCAATTGAGGGGATGGAGGCAATTTCTGCTTTTGCTTTGATGAATTCTAGCCCCTCGTTGCGGCAACCCTTTTTGTGAGCACCCCTGTTTGAAATGGAGGACCCTATGCTTCCTTTAGACATGAAAGAGCATAGGTACCCTTCACAACTCAGGCTGGGTTGCTCCAAATGGGGCGAACCCCAATCAGGATCACTTGATCCGCCACAGGCTCGCACACTGAAGGGACCAGCTGTGTTGAAACATCCAAAAGGCAGTCGTTTCCACTGCGCCCGGCACCCCCTGCCTGTCCCTGGCCAGCTGCTTCAAAGCGCGCCTCGGCCGGCTCTTGGCATTGGCTTTCCGAGTCAAACCTCCGACGCAGCGGTCTGCGTGGCTGAAAACTGGGCTGCCCTCAGATCCCCCGCTAAAAGCTTAACTTTTAGCGGGTTAAATGAAAACTACCACCAAACACTAAAAAGCTAAAAGGCTAAGGGAATGGCTGGGAGCCACCAAGAAAAGATGGGGGCAAGAATAACACGTACCAACGCATGCCCATGTCAGCACCCGTCACCAAGGTATCAACACATAACGGCCTTCTCGACATGCAAAAACAAGATGTGCCTGACACAAGTTGATCCAACTGCTGCATGCACACGAGCTATATAATATTTATTACTTACTATTTGTGGCTGCTTACGTTCTTTGCACTTGCTACCCCTGGCCAACGCTCCACTCGAGGCAGCTGCTGCATTTTTGGCTGCCAAATGCACTCGGAGATCAGCTAGTTCCCCCAGTTTGCCACAGGCAGCATGTAGCCACCAAGGCTCACTGTCAACGCTGAAAACAAATGACAATCATCAACACTCATGTGTTCACCCGCTACATGGCAAGGTACCGTTCCAATTGTTCAACATGATTGGCCGCACTTGGACCAAAAGCAAGTATCTTCAGGGCACCATGCTTCGGCCGCTGGACAAGAGAAAATCTCCGGTGAAGCATGGTGCAGCCGCCTGCCCCAAATACTGCCACGTAGCTCTCGACCACGGCTCTCCTTCATTGCCCGGGCTCCCAGGTGCAACCACTGGCCAGTCGGAGGTCCTTTCCGATCTGAATGAAGCAGCTCTCGGATTGGCCTTGATCCACCAGGGCGCGGCGCCAATGTGGACGCCACGAAGGCATCGCCTCATGGCCCCAGCAGGTACTGAAACGCCTTCTCGAAGTCCACCCAGTTGCCCACTTCCAGAGCCTCCCGAATCCGCTTTTCCTGCAGTGGATGCAGGTTTCAGTCATGTGTCAATATAACCACTGACACCTGAAGCCTTTTTGGTATGCACTTAAACCCGTTCATCAAATACGTGTGCCGAATATGCGCAACTACTTCATTCTCAAGGGAAACCCCCTCCAAAAAAGAAAGCACAGCACTGCTGGAGTTCTGGGTAATTGCGTGCAAGCATCTGGAAAGCCCATCTGTCCAAAGTCCTGCGATCGAGCACGTAGCCAGTCGGCCATGCCTTAAGCAAGCCAATGCTTCCAGCTGTCGGGGAACGTGCAGCGACGAAGCCAATACCAAATGAGCCAGCCAAGCAATGGCATCCAAGATGCACAAGCCACAGAGCCAGGAAAACACAACGGAATCCAGCCAACCACCTAGCGGCGGGCAGGCGTACTCCAACCACCACCACCACGACCCACCTGCCATCTGCCGCGCACCCCATCCGCACAGCACAGCACCTAAAGAAAGCAAGCAGCATTGCCACCACCGCCGCAGCCACCACCATGGCAACAACAGCCTGTCACCGCCATAAACCATACGACGACCACGGACACTGCGACTGGGGCCATGACATTGCCTCAACTATGGCTAGAAGCTCAAGTTGAAAAGCTGAGACATCGCAAAAGCCACCCCATACACTTCTACCGACCCATGAATCAGCAACAGCTTGAGACTAACATCAACCAACAGAAAGCCGCACATTTGGGGGGTTGGTCAAAGTTCTCTATTTTGTTCAACCATTGTTTGTTTCGACCATGTCTCAAACAGAAGCCGTTTCCTCCGAAAAAAAAAAAAAAAAAAAAAAAAAAAAAAAAAAAAAAAAAACATATCCCTAGAAAGAATTGCGGAAGTTTCCCCAACAACAAGACCGTCCTGCAGCCACCACTCGGTGAAGTCGAAACTTGGACCCTCCTTGCCGAGTTCGCGCTCCCACTGAGCGAGAGCCTCAGACTTTTTCTCCCCGAATTCAGCACCCTCAGCGGCAGAAGTAGGGTTGAAATCCCCTGTGGCCAAGACCAGTTGATAGAAAACAACCTGCCAAACAGAAGGGTATTTCGTGGTTAAAATCACTGAGCCGGGCCGAATCATCGAAGGAAGAATTGCCTAGCGAATAGGCACATCTGAACTGAAGCATTGCGGGGGAGGAGTGTCTCCTACCTGATCCCTGAAGTAAACATGTGCTGCGGAAGTCCACGGAAGGGACCTCTTGGCTGGAAAGGATGCCCAAGGGACCGTGGAAGCTTCAATGATGTCCAATCAAGTTTAAGGGGGAATACAACCCAACGCTCAAGTGGGTTCGTAGGATGCTTCAAAGCCAAGTTGACCCTGCTCATAAGATGTCATGTCACGGAAGGCTGTGCAGTTTCCCACCCTGCTGCATAGCATTGATTGCGCTGTGTTGGAAGACGGGTTTCATGGCGCATTCCAGTTGTTCAGCGGGGTATTTGAAACGGTATTTGTCCTTCTTGTTTGGTGGGTTCGCGACCATGCATGGATAACCGCTAGCATGGCTGCTGAGCAAAGAAGACGCCTGCCAGGGCGCCATCCAGAAGGAGACGTTCAACCGTAGGCGCCGGCCTCTTCGCTGCATCACCTCCTGCGGTCAAAGAAGACAATGCTTGCACCAGGTTGACATTGAACCCAGCAGAAAGGAACCATGCTTCGAGGAATTGCCAACATAAACCAGTTCTGGGTTCCATGTTGAGTTGAAGGATGACTAACAATCCCAATAGACATTTGCCTGAACATGGTTGTCGAAAGCTGCTTCATCATGTTTAAAGACTTGGTATCAGGGCACATGGCCACCAAAGCAGCTCTCGTTCTGCCAGGGCGAAACTTAGTGGGGAAGCGGAGCCGGTCACAACAACTGGGCAGTGTCTTTGGCCGCCCTGGCAGCCACTCGCCCGCAGCTTTGCCCGTAGAAACTCACTTCCCAGACTTGACCGGTCCTCCACGGCTGCCTTCATACTGTAATTCTGCATTAGCCAGGCAGTCACAACCTGAGAGGATTCGCCAAGTTGGCCGGACGTGCAAGCGAGCTTTCCCCAGAACATGAGGAAGGCTGCATGAAGGGGCTTGCATATTTGGAGAGAACACTGGCAAATGGGGTCAGCATCAATTCCAAAGCGATGCCATTTCGGCGGGGTGGAGCCCTGTGGGTTGTTCTGCTTGCGCAGGCCCAAGCCGGTGGAAGCAAGGGGGATCCATATACTACATACGCTTTGGACCACTCACTCACTTAAAAGGGCCAGCTATAGGCTATGATTCGCAGGCCCAGGAAGCTTGGGGCAGGCTGGGATAACTCGCCATGGTCACCACTGCTTGACCAATGACCATCCAACATCCTTGAAGGAAAGGCCCCCGATTTTGGACCACAAGGCTGTTTTGCCTTTTTCCTGTCAAGGCGGCTCGCAAACAATGCTGAACAACGTGCACTCCCCTGAACATCCCGCTTGGGTGACGCCTAATTGGGCCTCCAAAAACGCGCGCTTGGAACCCCCGCAGTGGCCGACCGGCTGAGCCCGGCGTTGCAATGCACCAGGACCTCATTCTCAGGTTGATTTGTCCGGCTGGAAAACACGGTTCAGCTTCCTCTTGGTTGAGTTGTTGGATTGGTTTGGTGGTTAAGGACGGGATTCAATTAGGGGTTAGCTGAATGGTGGACAAAAGCTCGGCTGAAAACCAGTTCATGGGAGCTGGACCTGGGCAAAGGCCTCTTTAAACGGGCTGCTTTTGGGAGGGTGGCCTTCCCCTTAAGGGAAGGTTTACAAAGCGACCAGAGGTTGGCCATCGTGTACCACAACGGAGGTGGGGATCTGGAACAGCCAATCACGGGTGCCATGGCTGTATAAAGAAGCTCATCTGCAAGCTTGTTTGGGACCAAGCCCAGGAAACCAAAGATTGGCCATGTGACGCAAATGGCCCAGAAAGGAAGGAAAGGCACAAGTGACTAACAACTGAGGGAACCCCGCCCCCAAACTCTCGAGGAATCTCTAGGCTCTGTCGGTCTCTCTCTCTCTCTCTCTCTCTTTCTGCTTCTCTCTTCCCACAAAGCCCAGCAACAATGGGTCCAAAACCCTGATCACATAAGCAAACAACGTTGAAGGAGCCCTTGAGCCCCGAAACGCAAACAGTTGGCTGGCCTCGACGGAAACACCCCACATGGGCCAACGGACCGGCTCGCCCGCATCAAGACTTGCTTGGATCTCCTCGAGGGGCTGCTGCCGAACCGATCTGCCCGTCCACCCCAAGAGCTCGGGACTATGCCCACATCCATGCCCTCCCGCTGTCCAACTCAGTTGTTCAGCGACCCTGGAAAAAGAGGGAACCCTTTTTGGGGAAGGCCATCTTTAGTGGGGCAGCCACCCAAAAAAAAAGGAAAAAGGGCGCCACTGAACAACTGAGCCAACAAACAGCCTTTGTGAAGGGTCTCGAGTTGCACGGGCAAATGCCTTCCTGTCCGCCGAAGCAGAACTGGTGGCATCCAACTCCAGCATTGCCCCTCAGCATCGGCGACATTGGCACGTCGCTCCTTGACGCCTTCCCGAATGCCACGACTCCTTCAGCGGAAATGCAAAGCGGTCCCGGCAATTTACACCGATCCAGTTCCCGGGAACCCTGCTAGAAGCTGCTAGAAACGGTCAGGGCGCCCTTCTTGGGACTCGCCGCTGGGGATACTCAACTGCAGATCAGTTGGACTGAAACACGGCTTAAGCGTAAGCGGCAACGCATCAACAAAAAACACAACCACATTGCTAAACACTTGCGGGGTCTCAAGATGTCCTCACCGGGCTGGTCTACCAGCTCATAGTTGATGTACCTACGGATCACATGGATTCCCCAAATCTATTTGGGCATCGAGAAACCACATCGCGCCTGCAGCTCGAGAAGTGGTTTGGAACCTTCCCCTGGCCACCTGGTGTTCAATGGCCGATTCGGTTGGCTCGAGTCCAAATTTACTTCTGGCGCATTCTCCCGAAAACAAACCGGAATCTAAATGGCACCTCCAAAAAGTTGTTCCTGGGACCCTGATGCAGGTTCCGGGTTCTTTGGAGGTGCTACGGGAACACCTAACTGATTTCTCATATGCATGTCAACCTTATTTTGGGCACGCATACCCGTTTCTTCTCCGTCAAAATCGGGAAGCCGTTGGACACCTTGCGGAATTCCGTGGGGGGTGATGGGCTTCCCTGGTTGGCATCCTGGGTTCCAACCCTCCATCAAGAAAAGTGTCGCAGTAGAGCATGCCTGAAGTTTCTTCACCGCTTTGTGATACCGTCCGTTCGAAGGAGATGACTGATATTAGGGGCGGCGCCGTGTAGCAGAATCCCGAGAAACCGAATGCAACCAAATATCCCAGACATAATTACTCACAAAACCCGCAAGGGCCAACTAGAGAGCCAACCAATATCCACCCCACCGGAAAATGCCTTGCCCTTACCAATAAATGCACTCTATTGATGAATAATATGATGTTTCCCACACCCCAAATCTTCCAATACTAAATTAGCATTCGCCGATACTAAGCCAATTCTAAACAAGCAAACTTCCAGCCGACCCCAACTCCAGTCTTATTATATAGGCAATTCTAAGCAATGTTTAAGCCAATTATGCCTCACTCGGAAATTGCAAATTTGAATGGCTCTTGGGCCTGGAAAGGGAGCATTTAGACGAGGAACGTAGCGCCCCTGGGGCAGACTTGTACAATATTAATCAATAGTTAGGGAGTCTGTTTTGGTTCGGGGGAAGAGATTAACTTAATAGCTTGATGGTGGCTTTGCCATGTCTTTCTGGGGGTTCCTGGGGAAGTGGTTTCGGGGCGGAATCTCTCAGATCCAAAAGGTCGGCTAGCATCTGAGCTTCCCCTTTCGGAATGATGCCACCAGCTCCCATGAAGAAATCTAAGCCATGCTCTAGGAACTTTCGCCCCCACAAGAGAAAGTAATGCTCATGGCAGGGTGGGGGTATTCTAAAACGAGGTACATGTTAGAGGGATCTTGAACATGGCGAGCACCCTCGAGAAGGAAGCGCTGGGCTGTTTGCACACCTCCTTCACTCGAGTTGCGTGGCTCCGGCTCCGGTGTTGTTTTTCTTATTTTTTCTTTTCTTTTCTTTTTCTCAAATTTGGAATGGAGACCAGTGTCTTTTTGTTTGGATTCGCGCCCGGGGCCGGAACCAGGACTCGCTCGAGGGCCTGTGGTGCTTCTTTTGTTTGGAATCACCAGTTGCGCACTCCCGTTGCGCACTTCCTCTTGTTTGCTGGAGAATCCAAAATGAGGAAATCCAAAATACAGACAGCCAACGTGATTTCAAACGGCACACCGGTTCGCATCTTCGAGCGATTCTAGGGCATTCTAGCGCGACCCTGCAGATTAAAGGGATCATATTTGGGGATGACTCTTTTGGTGAGTCCTGAACCCCCCCACCCCCCAAACACAAAGGGATTTAGACAGGACAGGATGCCGAAGGACCGCCATATGGAGCCAAGTATCTTGTCAAGTTGAGCACCAAGCAAATTCCGCAGAGCTCCATGACTTGCGGATTGGATGCCCCGTGCTCGGAAGCCAAGTAGAGCCCCGGGCGAACTGCGAAGACCTCAGGGATGAAGGCTTCTGAAACTTCTCAAAACTGCCGCAGTACTTCCCTCAAAAGGACCTTGTGGAATTGCTTGAGTCCTCTAGGTTTGCATTTGTGGGAAAATTGGTTCCCTCATAGCCCTCGCAAATGGAAGTTTGGACCGAACCTCATTGATCTTGACTGCACACAAGAATTTGCACTGATGGCTGCGGCAAACTCAACTTGGCCCAGGCAAACAAGGGAAATCTTTCTCAACAACCCCCGGACGGTGTTCCTAATTCAAAATATCTCAATGTGCTAGCAACATTGGTGTCTGCAAACACAGCTTGTAAACCCTGCGCGCCGCTCGTGACAGCACAAGCGAACAGGACGGTTAGCACAAGCGAAACCAGGGTTCTGCAGCAACTGGCTGCTCAGCCGTGACCCAAATAAGCGGACCCGCGTAGCACACTGTGAGACATGTCTGGAGCCAGTGCTGTTTCTGTTGTAGAGCCACCTGCATCAGCTCAAGGCTTTTTCTGCAAACAGGCTCACTATCATGGAAATCCAACTTTGGGTACCCTCGCTTGGGGAAAGCGCGAACTCTTCAACGCCTCAGCGGCAATACCGCCCTCCCTCGGCATAGCTGGTGCAAAGATCGAGAGGCCTGCTCTCCTTCCAGAGCAGACGCTGCATTGCAGGATCCTGCGTCGACAAGCAAAAGGGAGAAGTAAAGCTGGGAACAACCGAAAAAGTTCAGTGAAGAAGATTCAAGATCAATACCCTCAACTTTTGCCACAGTCAAGGATGCAGATTGCAGATCGTCGAAATCATGTTGGGTGTCTTGAAAAAGCGAAGCAGTGCCTATCCCCGCGTCACTTCCTGTTAGGGGAAGGGCACCAAACACCGAACAAGCGACAAAACAGAGGGACTGACCTGGTTGCATCGCGTCATGTGTCCCCCCGGTGGCCAAGGGAGGATGCAAGATTGCTATGTGTCCCCCTTTAAGCCAAAGCCGGACGAGTCAGACGCACTCGACCTACCCGCCTGCTTCTGCCAGACTGCTTTGCAGCAGCTCCTGAATTAAAATGGAGGGTGCCAAGGGAGAGGACGGGAAAGCGAGAAGAGGGGAGGAGAAGGAAAGAAAGGTGGAGCGGGACAAGAAATGGAAGGAGTGGTGGATACTTCGGGCATGGCCTTTTTTCGGGGGAAGGGGGAGTTGGCCATGATGGCCTTTCCGACGAAAGCAAACGAGGCCCCGCAGGTCCACTGAAGAAAGAGGATTTCAACATGCTTTAGGGAGCCCTTAACTGTGAACACCTTGCAACACGGGTCCACAGGTGAAGCGAACCCTGGCCGGGCAAGCTTGACACATGGCCTCTTCAATGTCCAACAGTATCATCATGTATCATCGCTGAATCTAAGGAAAGCATCTGTTCCAACGGCCGTGAACAGCCATGTTTGATCCTTCCAAAGAGGTAGTATAGGAGTGATCAATGTTCAAGCCTAGACCTTAGGATGACAGGGTCGTTGAGTTACTACTATCATCATTTCAGCGAAGGGCAAAAATGTACGATGGTGTCAAACATGGACCAAACACCTCCCACCACTGAAGGTGGAAAAGGCTCTCGTGCGGGCAGGTGGGAGGTGGGGAGGGGACGTGGAGGTGCTGGTTGCAGTGCAGCAGGCTTCCTACATGGGTGCCACACTGAACTGATTCCCCAAACCATCGTGTCTTCGGGGCTACGTTCAACAGAGAAGGATCTTGGTACATTCTGGGGGTGGTATGGCGACAAAGTAACTGCAGGTGTTCATGGTACGGGCTTGTTTCATGACAGTCTGCTTGCATATTTCTTGTCGGGTCAAAACGAGGAGTAGATGAGGCCAGGTCAAACAGCTCATCAGCTGTCACCAACAGCGCTGGTCTGACACTCTTTGGGTGAGTTTCTTCAGTTTCTGACCGGTGACCTAAAACTACCGCTCCTCCGGGTAGTGCAACAAAAAACGACCGCCCAAGTCAGAAGGCCATCAAGTCAGGTTTCCTTCACACAGAAGATTCAGAAGAAACTCGAAAATCAGAAAAGACGTCAGTCCAGCCAACAAAACATGAGGTTTGTGTTGGGGACTCTTCAGGAAACCTGCACAGGACATCGACTTGACTCTTGAAATGCAGCCCTTGCCCACCGGTCCTCCAGGTCCATGCGTGGCAAACGGCTCACAGCTGAGGGGACCGGGGAAGGAGCTCACAGCTGGCTGAACCAATATGTTGGCTCCAAAAGCAGCCTGGTGAAGTATCCGGGCCGTTCCTAGATGAGTCTCCCATCTACATTAAACGCCCGCATATTCTGCATATTCAAGGGAATGCCAGTCCGGGCTCTCAAGCACGTCTGATACAAGGACATCTTAGCCCATGTGTCAAAATGAATCAACATGGTGGCAAGCGTGGCATGGCGAAGTCCACCGGGTTTTCAGGCTTCGAGAAATGTATCAAACCTGCACCCCTGGGGTTGGCTAGGTGAAGGCTTTCAATCAATGCTAACCTTGCTGGTTCTCACGGAATGAGAAATGGAATGACCCCGATAAAACCATCCATCTTATGGTTTCCTTCAAGAGAATCCCGAAAGGGTTCATTCCTAACACCCGGACACGGTCATTCCCTACCTATCGCACCAGCAAGTAACCCAGGATCCAAATGAACTTTCTACCCTGGGTCACCCAAACATGTGGCTTAAGTTCCACTCGTCATGAGTTCACACCTTTCAGCTGAGAAGCGGAGATCACAGTGGAACCCGGCAACCAAACACCAAACGCCTTACACATATGTATGTATATATATATATACATATATGTATATCTCTCTCTCTCTCCCATTTGTTTAAGCCCCCTGGCAAACATCCAGTAGTGATAGATCCCATTCAACACCGTAAATGGAAGATGTACACATAGACGCACACATGTGTCTACATATATACAAACAATCAATCAAGCTAACACACCGCAACTGTTCAAACCAAGACACATCATCGTTTGAAAGCGTTCGCTGAAGAAGTCACTGACAAATAACAAATTACATCTATGTCCGCAGCCATGTCCTCGCCTGCCAAAGAAACAAGCTACAAAACCGCGAAAGCATGGCGTTCATGACCGTGCACGCCTCATGTCTTTTCCAGACATGTCTGAACCAAGACTGTGGCAAGGGCAAGCCATCAACTCAGGGACCGGAAGGACAGGCTGCCGGAAGCCGCAAGTTCGCCCGCAAAGGTCAGTGTTCCGGTTTCTTGTTATTTTGTTGGAATCGGTACGAGGAGAAACCACAAGGAAGCCATCCCACTGGCATCGCAAAGAGCCTTGTGGGAACCACTTGGGATCAAAGGTTTTTGGTAGGCTCACTCGAGCGTGTGCTTCGGCAAGGTAATTACTCCTAAGGTGGGGTCGACGGAAATCAGAAAGTACATAACCAATTTGGGGGCTCCAACTTTTGGCACATACCCACGTGAGTGGGCTGGCTCAAGACATCAGCACCCACACTAAGACTTACTGTTTACCACTCAGTGCTTTTCCCACGTGTCAAACTGTGTGATAGCCACTCAGAGAGTCCACTTGGAGAGATCCCACTGACACCCTGAAACCCTAGGCCTTTTGATCCATTTCGGCATGCGCCGGCACGTCAAAACGCCAATCCAAACCACTCGGGGGATTAGCTTCTGAATTGCAATCGGTTGAGTCCCAAGAGAACAAGCAGGCGACAATACAAGATGTGCACCCGGGCCGCTGGAACAACCGACTTTTTGTTTGGCGGGTTCTCAAACAACCAGGTTCCCTGATAAAACAAAAAAAGCAAAACAAACTCAATAGAATAGGCTTTCGGTAGCCACCGGAAATAGTTGGCTGTCCCAGGCCCTAGGTAACCCCTGTCATTGTGATCCGGAACAGCCAGTACATAAACCACAAACACACACACACACACACACGCCAACGCAAACAGGTTTGGGTGGCTCAGCCGATGAATCTCCTCGCTTTGGCTAATCAGTCCATCCGGCAATGCGTGCGAATGCCAAACGGGGTCGACTGGGGGCCGGGCCCGGAGATCTGTTGGGACCTCCATGGAGTTATATAATAGTCGAAGCAGCTTGAAGGCGAGCGAGCGAGGACGGGCGTGTGTGAGAATCAGCAAACAATGACAGGCCGAAGGGGAATCCCTGGATCCCACGATGAGAGTAAAGAATATCTTAATAACGTCTCCTTAAAAGCTTCATATGGCCAGTTCTTGCCTTTTCACAGGCAGGTGTGGAAACCGTCGCTGCAATGTCGCATTCCTTGTCTCACATCCGGTATCAAAACACAATGACAGCCTAAAAATTGGTCACCGAACCCGACGAACGAAACACAAAACAAGCTCTGCGTGTGCTTGCCGTGTTGTACTTGACCTTTGCCAGTCTATGCCTTTTCCATCATCAGCAGGTGCCCACGTAGTGGTCAAAAGGAAAGGGCCCTCCCTAGCTCCGGCCCCCCTTACTGAAGGGGTCGCGAAATCTCACGTGGCTCACGTCCTGACAACGGGTGTCTCTTAAACACAATGAGGCCCTGAACCGAAATCTTTGCTTTGCGAGTATACGGCACCATGCGAAATGCAGCAGTTTGTCATGCCAAGGTCCCTGGCCAACAAGGGCAAGTCACATACCTTGAGCAAACGAAGACTACTGCTTCGCCTTGAAACCCGCCCCATTGCGCCCAACCTTGGGTGGGGCCAGGCAAGGCGAGAACCGTTCCTTCAGAGATTTCAGCTCGAGGGTCCTGCTTGACTGACTGACACGAGGGGCCCTTGACTTTTTCCCACCGCCTAGCCTCGCGGCCAAGGAGGACCCAGAAGGCGACTGAAAGTTGCCAAGCAGCAAGCTGACTGGTCAAAGGCATGTTGCTCTATCTGATGTTGGTTGAGCAGTGCTGAAGCTATTTCATTTGACAACCTATGACTGGCCCAAATGCCTAAGCGGCTCACAGCAGTTCACATTCTCCGGTTACCAAGTCCTTGTTGTAGATCCGCTCGAACGCAACTGCTACCTGCACTCACTTACTAGGTTTGACCCACCTGAAAGGATCCTGCAGGAACTTGAATCATGGGCCTGGAGTCGTGTTTCAAAGTTTTACACCAAGATCTACTTGGCTCAAAGCTGTGCTTGGGGCTGAAGCTGACAATCCCCAGCTGCCCAGCGAACCATAAGAAAGGGTATCACATTGGGCCACCGAGAAAGGTCAAAAGCATGGAATCAGTTGAGCTGGGAAGGCCAATAGCCCGACTGGCACTCCACTTTGTGCCATGCCCGAGCGCGCATAACCCGATCGCCTTTGATCCAGAGTCAGCGCCGTGGGTTGATAGAACAACGACGTGCCCGATCACACCAAGCTATCGCATGATTGGAGGACTTGAACCCCTTGAACATTTGCGCAGCTTGAGATACTGCTGCTGCTGCTGCCCGAACTGCCCTAGAAGGCAGCTAGTCTTTTTGGGGAAGCTGCTTTTGGCCAGGTTCGGAGGCAAAGTGCGAAGCCAGCCAGTGAAATGCATAAGTCCCATGCAACAGCGGTGGCCATGCTTCGGCGTGGCAACAATCAAATCCCCGAGCCCCCGAAGGTGGGATCTCTTGAGTAGAAATCGAAGGTTGCTTCCCTTGACCTAGACCTGTGACCCATTTGGCTCCGCAACGATCAAACAGAAACCCGTACCGGCCAAATCTTAGCTCATATCTCTTGACAAATGATCATTCTGGAGGTGCTTACCTTTCTGCGGATCAGATAGAAAGCTGGACCCAAAACCTCATATATATATATATATATTTACGGGCCCTAGATCCCCTTTAGTGGCGCTGGGTTTCAACATTTTTAGGCTGGACTCACTTGGCCACACGCAAACGGGATCTCGTCGCTTTGGGCCAAGAACCTGTCTGTCCACTTCTGGGGGCATTGTCTTGACTAAAACCTGGGGTTGTTTGCATAGGTGGCCGTTTGGACAAATAGATGGCCCTGGCAAATTGAATAAATCCCATCTAAACCAGTGCCATCTATGCTTAACCAAACTCGCCTAAAAGGGACACCTATGGTTGTTTGCCTTTAACCCAACACTTGGGGCCGGGACAAGGGTGAAAGAATGAGGCCGGCATGAGCCCAACGAGCGTACTTATGAATTTGGAGCCAACGAGTAGTCGCTACCTCCAAGGTACGAGACACAGGATGAATCCACTACAAACACCCAGTTCCCAGATCCAAGATCTGCGCCTTTGAGTTGGGAACGACCAACTGGTAATAGAAGGGCTGGGCGTGACCTGGGCTCCCGCAATTCCTGTGATTTCCGTGGTTTCCTTTGAAATAATGTCATTCGTGTCCCATGAACTCCTTTCAACCAAACACTGCCCCCGAGACACCCCCACGGCTCATCCCTTTTCCCGCGTGCGCCGGACCTGTGGGCGCTCGCGCTGCAAAGTCACTTTACAGGCACAAATGCGAGCTGATTACAGTGATCATCACCTTGGTCTTGCAAGGTCCTCCGCCAAAGGCGTGCTTTTTCGAGATCCTGGAACATCAAAGCTACCCCTGATTGGCAGTTCAGGGGCCAGTTTGGAGGCTCGGGAGTAACATTTACTCCCACCCACGCGGTGCAAATCCCAAGCACCTGTCGTCCGGAAAGGGCAACGTACGACCGTTTCCGGCATGGCTAGGGATCAAACCATCGCCGTATGCCAAAGCACGCCCACCAGGGCTGAACGTCCACTTCCAAGAGTTTTCAAACAGCCCTAAGACCTAGTCCAATACCTTCCAGCTGAATGCAAGCTATTGTTGCGCGTCCAGTTCCATCCAATGCAACATGTACAAGGCATAGATACATACACATAGGTATACATACATATATAATTATATATATATATATATATGTATGTATGTATGTATACGTATATGTGTATGCATATATAGCACTTCAGACTTCGGGATCAGATACAACACATTTCAGTGGCAAAAACTGAGGGCGTGTAGATCACCTGGCATAATCACAACACCCGCGGGGATGAAAAAGAGTGCGCTCGGCCTTGCTCAAACATCGACCATGGACCAGTCCGGGTGCAAGGAAAGCGACGTCCTTTGCGGCACCTGTGCAAAGGCTGTACCAACAGACCCCGGGAACGTACCCGTGAAAGATAAGACAAACAATGAAGCTGAATTTGGTGTAAGTTGGCTCTAAATAAGACTTAGCTGACTTGGCTGTCATATTTCTTTAGGGTTTGGTCTGCGGGCCAGTGCCAGTCAGAAGCATGGATCATCTTAATGGCCGGCCGAGTCAGATGGTGCTGCTCGCAACTTCCTGACATCCACTCTGCCGGAAATGTGCGATGCACCCTGCAAGTGGCAAGCGAGAGAAAAAAGGCCATGCAGCTTGGAGTCCCCGAGCGGCCGGAAGCTCAGCGATGCCAAGCCCAGGTTGGCACAATTGCGCCAGTGACCCGAGCAGAAAAGACACCCCTTTTTCGCAGAACCTCGCCCCTTTGGCGGCCCATCTCAACCCCAAGCGCCTTCTTACGAGCGGAAAGGCACGTACGGCCCTGTTGGCATGGCTAGGGATCAAGCCATCCCTCCTCTACCGTGCACCCCGCTGGGGGTGCAACGTCCAATCTCAGTGTCCTCACACAGCCCTAAGACCTACTCCAATACCTTCCAGCTGGCTGGATACAAGTTCTTGCTGGGAACGTAACAATGTAACTGAGTGATCATACATCACCAGTAGTTGTGATATCCAAATGCCTTTGCATATTTGCTGTCAAAACCATTTGAGAGTCCTTTTCACTTTCTGAGTAGATTGGCCAAACAAACTATGTTTGTTGTTTACCGCCAAAACGGACTTGCCAAAAAGCATACACTCAGGCCATAAATTATGGCCCCCGACTTCCGAGTTTGTGGCTCGTTCAGGTATGTCAAACCCGACAACAAGGCTTACTTCAGCCGGCGGAAAACCCTTGATTTCTTCAACGGAGTCAGAAGTATGGCCGCACTCTTGCTTGGGTCTCCAGGCGAGTACCCTACAATGGCAAGTATGCTGGAGCCTGCATGGTGGTGCATGTGGTGGAAGCTACGCATGGCCATGTATCTCTGGACAACTTGGATCGAAAACACGCATTCGAGCCAACAGTTACTCGCATCAATCTGAGTCTTTGCCGTCTAAGCGACGTACACATTCACAGGTAGCCTTTGCTGAAACTTTACGCCAAGATGCAAGGAAGCGTCGTTCTCCCTAATTAGGGCTGCAGAACTGCGAGATGTAGACTTTCAGTGCCAGTCAGAAGCATGGATGAATTATGTTCATCCGCGTCAAATGCTGCTGTTTTGGCATCCTGAGATCCCTGCTTCAACTGCCAGCATAATGCAACCAAGCGCGCACAAAATGAGCCATGCAGCTTGGCTTGAGTCCCTTCGGATGAGCAGAAGTCCCAGGCAGCCAACATCAGGTTCTCGTGCTCATGAAATATCCAGGCACTGGCTGGTGTAACTCAACATCTTAGATCCCAAGTTTGCACACATTCACTGGTCCGAAGACCCCAAAAGTCGACGTCGCAAGCTTCATCTGACACCAGGCAGCCCGCAAGGGGAAAATGAAAACCCAAGCCGAGTGGCTGTCAGAAACAAAACCATCCTATGTTTGGCCTTTCACTTCCCAAAGGAAAAAGGGGCACCGCGGCGTTATTTCACGCTTCCCCCGCCCTTCTGAGCAGGATCCCAAGGAAACTCCCTGCAAAATGAAAAACCGTGCAGTTGAAAGATGGGCAGTGCCCCAAAACCATTGAACATAAATCAACCTTTTAGCACTGGTGAGATGCTCAAGATCTGCGCTTCAAGCCGTGAAGTCCTTTCTTTGAGCTGTGCCAACCATCGCTTCAAAGCCCAGACCTTTGAGCTATGCCATGTCCAGCAGGATTCTCAACGTGTGCCTCACCTTGCAAAAGCTCACATAGCATTGGCAAAGCACATGGAAGTGACAGTGCGTGTTTACCCGTGAATGCTCGCGCTACGGACAAAATCGCACAGCATCAACGTGCCTGAGGCAGCACTTGAGCCTAACAGCCCCCGCAAGAATTCATGCCGAAGCTGCTCATCTCGGTAGACTCGCCAAGCGCCTTCTTACGGCGGAAAAGGCAACGTACGACCTTTTCCAGCATGGCTAGGGATCAATCCATCGCCTCATAATCTACCGCACACCCGCCAGGCTGAAGGTCCAATCTCGTATGCCTGTTCCATCCCCTTCCTGCTGGGGCAAGGTCTTGCTCCACGAAAGGAAGAGCCGGGTTGATGCAAAAGGAGCGCCAACCCCGAGCAAACAATTTGATTAAAGGGCGGCTTTTCAAGCGAACAAGGCCATCCCATGCTTCTTGTCGTGAGCTACCAGCCTGGGTTTCCATGGTTTCCGTGTTCCTATACAGCAAGGTGCATGATACGAATGCATGCTTCGTATCTCCGGCCCTGGCTACAAGTAAAAGAGTACTGAAGCAACAACAGCACAGGGCAAGCCAATGGGAAAAAACGGTATCACCGTTCGCTAGAAGCCCCCCAATTCTGAAGCCAGCGCAAGTCTTCCGGCATTACGGAATCCCCCGTTGCAAAAGAACCTACATCAACGTACATCAATGTCCAAAGGCCCCATTCGTGCTTGCTCAAATCCTTGGACTTCTATTGCAAAGTCCTAGCTGTGCGTAATAAAACGATGTCTTGCTTATCCGCAGCTCCGCCAGCGGATTTTGACTTCCAAGAAGTTGGCGGCCCTCTGTTTGGCTCACCAGACGCGGCTCCGCATTTTGAACCAATCATGGCCGCAACGAAAAGCTTGATTCCTGTGGTGGAGCATGTAGTGGAATCTATGCCTAGCTGTGTTTTACCATAAAACTTCATTCAACAATACCCATGTTAACATTCAAGCCCTCACGCCTTGCTGAACCATCTTTGAGCCCGGATGCAAGAAAATCGTTGTTTTCCGCAGCAGCTGGGCTGCAGCACCGGAGATGTGGACTTTCAGTGCCAGTCAGAAGCATGGATGCATAAGGAATCTCATGGTCTGGCGCTGTTCGTTTGGCAATTTTCCTGACATGCATGCTTCAACCGCACCCAGCGTGTTGCAGGGTCAGCAGCGAGTGCGCAGAAAGGAGTCATGCAGCGAGTCATGCAGCTTAGACCCCTTTCGGGAAAAAGGGTTGCCTGCGGCCAGAGGGTTGCTAAGGTTAATCCAAGATATTCTACATGTTCAACCACCAAGCCAAGGTTCAAAACCCAAGCAGCCAGGATTCCCCAACATCTTACCGGCGCTTCTCTTTTGGACATCACTCTCATCAGACCTCCGAAACCTGTGAGCCCGCCAGAATCTGCCAGTCTTGACCGTTGTCATCTAACGCCCGCACGGGAAAAACCAACCAACAGCCTCAGGCGCATGAAGTTCATGTTGCTCCCCTTTTTAAATAAGTGGATCCGAGGGGAGACCAGGTGCGAACTAGCGTCTGAGCGAAGAACACAGGGGCAGCGCCCGAAATCGTGGGATGAATCAGCACCTTCAGAAACTACGTCTTGTGCCAAACGCCAGGACCCGTGACAGGATTCACACTCTGTGGTTTCCTTACCAAGCTACTTGCTTGCGTCACAAGCCTCGCTGGAAATCAAACTCTTGTTCTTTCCTTTTGAGCACTCAATCATCATTGCAATTTGGCAGCACGCAACAAGGGGCTTTTTGTAGCTCTTGTCTTCTTCACACATGCTGTAGCAAGTAAGAACTACCTTAAACACACTGAACCTTTGCAACCGTAACCCTGCTGCCAAAAGGACGCCTCTTTGGTGAGCATTTGTGGCGACACCCAGGATTGAACAGCCCTGGTTGATTGGTTGGAACCTGCCACTTCAACCCTGGCGGTTCGACCCCCTAGCTGTCGCTCGGAAACCGAGGTGCAGCTGACCTGAGGGGAACCCTTGGACTGTTACTCACTTGCTGAGGGTATGCCCCCCCCCCAAAAAAACACCTTATACTTACCACTAAAAAGGTCTTCCCAAGAAGTTTAAAGTTCATGAACTCGGGAAGTGAGGTTTTGGGAAAACTACGTTTCAAGATGGAACCCACAGCCTGGCCGCATGGCCCGTCTGTCAGCGCATGCCCGAGCGACACACATGGCATTTCTGCTGCCACACCCACGAGTAGCCTCGGAGACTGGAAACGACTGGGAAAAAAGGGTGCTCGCCGCAAATAGGCCACTAGGCAAACCCACTATATGGATTCATATGGGTGGGTTTCCTTTGGTTTCCCTTACAGAAGAAATCAACAACAAAAAGGACGAATCATTGTGCTTTGGTGTGTGTGTGTGTTTTTCAGAGGAATCCTCGAAAAGGCTTCTGCCAATCGGAGTTATGAGCTTGTCAAGCGGGAATTTCCCTCACAGACTGGTTCCAGCCATGGCATAAACATGTCACGTGTGTTCGCTGTGTGGTCTCGATCTGGGGCGCTAAATATGGTTGAACACCGGTTGCTGGTCCCTGCTCGCGTGATATATATATATAACACAACAACACCACATTTTGGCCAGTTGTGAAGGGTGCCTGACAGGATACATTTGGGCCACTTCATTGACACCCCTTCCCCCGAACAAAAGGTGCGGAATACTGCTTGCGTGGCGCCAACCTGTAAGAGCTCCAACAAATTTGGGCATCAACCCGGGCTGGGACCCTTGGACATCATGTTCATCTACAGTTTTGAGTTCCTCGAACTCATAGCCAAAGAGAATCAAGTAGACACAAGCAGGTCTTCCTCCCGCCGTTTGAAGGCATGGCCATCTAGCTGCATATAGCTGCATGGCTTAGAGCGCACCCGGGATCCTTATCCGGAGATATCCCGAATCACGACTCACGAATCGAGGGCGAATCCCTGGAGGCGTCACCCCCAGAAGATTACCATTTCAGGGGGGCCCAGGACACCGCAACCAAGGGATTTAGAGGGGCCGCCCAATCCGACTGCACACCCTTCCCCCTGCTAGGCTGTGGGCGTGGGCGCGGCAACCAATTCGAAGAAATGGCTTCCTGTCGCGAGGTGCAGTGCGAAATGTGTTCAAAAGCTTCTTGAAACATGGGGAACTGGCTCCCCGTAGGGGGGCTAGAAAAAATGAAATCGATCAATCCCCTTGTGTTATTTTGTGCAAACTAAGAATTGATGGAGATTCAGCACCCAGTGAAATCCACCCGTTGCTGCCTATGTGAAAAGCTGTTTTCGGAAACCGCGCCAGCATTTTGAAGACGATCTTGGCAGCGCTCCCAACAGCACAAGGCAGTGGCCCGGTGATGGTGCAAACCCTGGAAAAAGGGTTTAGCTGGCAAGTTCCAAATGGAGAGTTGGCCAATCCCAGCCAGTACAAAGGGGACCGGTTCCTTGCGCAACCCAAGGTAAGGATTAAGGATTAGCTTTGAGCCGCCCAGTTGAGTGGGGAAACCGACAAGCAGGGAAGATGGATGCTGAACAACTTGGTCAATGGACAGACCCTGGCAGCATGCTGCCAGGAAGCGCTGACCAACTGTCCCATACAACGGAAGTTTCACCGGAGGGAATTAGAAAAGGCCTCCAGCACTCCCCCTTCCCCGGCCCACACTACCATTGTTATTCGTACATTCTCGTAACGACCTTCTATTGGAAGGCACTGCTGAAAACTCTTCAAAGAAGAAGCAGCACTTCCTTTCCAACCCTGCCCATCACTGCTAAGATCTGCTTTTCGGCTGTTTTGGCCCTAATGGTTGGTTGGCAGTCGACAGGCAGTCCTTGAGAAAGCATGAAGGTTGTATTGAACACTATCGCCCCCAAAGCAACAGGTCGGGCCACACGCAGCGAATCAAAGCGACGCTCCAACACGAGGTGACACTAGCTAAACATTCCAGTAGTTTGCACCAAGGCGATTCGCACTGCCTTGCTGACCTCCTGTTCTGAGTACATCTGTACTTGTCATGGGCAGATTGCAAACAATGTGAGAAAACTGCCGCCTTGCTTGCTCGCTTGTGAATCCTACTGGACTTTGGGGCACTCGCAGGGCACCAGCTCCTGCCACTTTCAAAGTTGGTTGGAACAAAGTGTTCCACATGTTGAATGGCTCAAAGTCGACGCGGTGAGGTCTGATGAGGGCTGACATATATCACAACTTGCCCCTGTCCTGCAGTAACGAGTGAGGGTGCTTCAACTTGAAAGTCGCGAGCCGCGTCTCTCATCACTCCTCGGGCTCACGACTTGATCGTTCACATGACGTGTTTCCCCGGCGGCCTGGAGCGTGGAAACCACATGCAGTTCAAGGACAAACCCACCCGGACCCTATATAACAATGACCCTACAAGAATGGAATACAAACCCGGTCTTCCAAAAACCTCCAGTTAGGCTCCATGTCAGCTTGTGGGAGAGCAAACAAAGGATCCAATCACATCTTCGACGCTTTGGTTGACATGCCTCAACTCCCTAGCCGCAACGTAATTACTCCAATGCATTTTCCCAAGCCGATTGTACATCGGGGCTCTCACTATCCGCTTTTGGGGGATGTCGCTCGTGTCTTGGGCACATGCACCAAGACGGAAACAAGAACGAGAAGATGTCAGGTTAGCCAATAAGCCAGTAAGGTCCAAAGGCCGGCTCCGGGGCCCCGTGCTTGTTGGCTGCTTCTTGCTTTTTGGAAGCCACAAGTAGGGAATGGCCTTTTCTTTCATTGTGTGCTTGCAACAAACGAGCAATTCTGGGAACAACATCCAAAGCAATAAAAGGCATTGCCGTGTCTGCTTACTTCTGACTCTCAACTTGCCCAAATGCGCGCAATTCTCACATCCCTGTAGCTTTTGGGGATAAGACTGTTCCATTTCATGGCTTTCAAAACCCACCCCCCCATCAAGTGACACTCTCCACGTTGGAAGGAACAAAACCGCAGCGAAGGTCTCTCGCGGCGATTTTGGGCAAGTGAAGCCTACGCCATCCAGGCGCGCCACAGAAACCTCTTGAAAAGTCATCTCCGCTGGCCCGTTACGCCTCCTGCGGAATGCGGACTCTCGGGGGTCAGTTCGCTAAGTGTGCAGCGGGCATCCCTCAAGCGGAGTCATAACAGGTTGTGAAGTTATGAATAATAACAGATACGTTTGCTTGCCCGGCATGTTGGCTCCGGATTCACCAACCTGGGTGTCTCTGCATGCCTGTTGATCAAGGCATCATCCATTCGTGGCTGACATCGCTGTAGTTGCCCAACGACCCTGTAGAAAACGGGAACGCTTCTTAGGATTGACCATTCTAATTGGAAATCCACGATACCAAAAGAGGAAAAGAGCGCCGGTAAAAATTGATGACATCCTTGGACAGAATGGTCTTGACACTTCCGAACCCCAGGCAGCAACATGGATCGCAGATTCGCAGAAGCTCGAATGAATGTTGCCCAGCTCTATTTCGGTATGTGTGTTGAAAGATATTGACTCGTGATGCCGCTTCTTTGGTTCGTGTCCATATGACGGCAAAGAAAAGTGGCGATTGCAAGACGGGTCAAGATCATGAAATCTCGGCGAATGATATCTCGTCTGTTCACTCCTCAAGGAAACCGTTGCTAGTCGGAACGGCCACAACTTATCTTGGAAGGGCCGCTTATTTCGAGCGTTCTGAGC